TAATGTGTAGCTCATACTAAGGGTACAACGATAGCAAAGTCAGCTGGCACAAATAGAATAAACGTTAGTGAAAAGGTGATTTTCTTCAGTGTCAGTTAGTTCTAGTGCTTTTCCCCTTAATATTTAGGAAACATAGCTACACAATTACAGGCAAATTGAGTGTTATATAAACTTTGTTTTGTGTGAAGATACTTATTGTTTTGGGAGTCATATTTTCTTTACCAAATAATAATGCTCTTTTATGATGCTTCAAAAGATTCTCTGGAACAAAATCTAATGTATAGATTGAGTTTATATTTTACTTATACATCACTAAGTGGTTTATATTCATTTTTGATTCATTTTGAATATATTTTAACCAGTTTTCCTTGAGTGCCATGGTGGTAAGTGAACATTTTTTTATATTTCATTTTACTAATTTTTGTAAATATACCATCTGTTTATTTACTAATATTTAATTACTAATGCAATTATCTGTTGTATCTGTATTCTATAATTATCTCTCAATAATCCCTGGTCACTTTGATGTATAATATGTGTATATTGCACAGCAATTGAATAAGTATTGTCTGTTTTAATGTGTTACACTTGTGAAATTAAAAAATTGCATTACCACCACTTGGACCTCTGATGCTAAACCCCCGGGACTCCAAAAGTTAAGGAAACCTGGAGAAGGACAGAAGAAAAAGAAATGAAGGAATGTAAAATGACAAGGAAAACCACAGAGAAAAGAAGCAAACTGGCAGCAACAGAGATCATTTGTGAATTCCTTTTGATCAACTGTGACATGAAGATGATATAAAGATAAACATGAACCCCTGCTGGATATACTATGTAAATACTCAATACAGCCCTTATAAAAAACTGTCCCCCCCCCCCCCCCCCCCCAAAAAAACACTGTGACTACTGTCTGTGTGAACCACTATTTAGGGTGTAGACAGTGTAGACAGGGGGTTGTAAGCCTGAAGGTTTAGGGCTGCACGGCTAGTACTGTGGTTACAAACTGTTTTTGGTAATGATAACTTTGCTTCTGACAAAAAAACTCCATCCGCTTACTGAAGGTCGAACCCGGGTCTCCCACATGAAAGCCAGACATTGTAACCTCTCGGCCAGCCACTCCAGTAATATGGCTGCCCTAATTAAAATTTCATATGAGACTGAACTGAAGATTAATTGTGAAGATTGGGAATATCTATTTACAATGAAGCTATAGTTGTTTCATCTGTTGGCTAACTTCATCAAATAAACTTAAGACATCAATTTTGAGCCTTTTTTTTAAAACATGTTTTGCAGAAACAGATTATCTGACATTAATTCCATTCATGTCATGATTATTGTCTTTTATATCTTGATCTGATAAGAGCGACATCTTAACAGTCATGGCAGAGAACTAAACTTGAAGAAAAAAGGAAAAGTTGGAGAAATAAAACAGCAGCTCTAAACCTTGATAAAGATGGCAAGAAACTCTGGAGATTAGCCAAATCACTCAATGAAGAGAGTTTCTCTCCTAGACAAACAATCACGCTAAGTGATGGTGACAAAATCTTCAGAGGAAAACAAGCTGCAGATTTGTTTGCCAGAACATATAGTGTTGAAAGCAACCTGACCCTTAATGAGGACCATCAGAGAGAAATAAGGAAAGAAATACAAACGAATAAGAGACAGACAGATACTCCTGCCTCTATGAGGGAGCCATTTACCATGGGTAAACTACAAAATGCCATATTTAGGCTTAAGTTTAAAAAGTCTGCAGGTCCAGATGAAATCAGCAATGAAATGCTAATCAACCTGAGCTCATCTGCTAAAGTAAAGCTGCTGGAAATTTTCAACATCAGCTGGGAGAAAGGTTTGGTGCCTCAAGTATGGAGAGAAGCCATCACAATACCAATTTAAAAAAAAGGAAAAATTAAGACACAGGCTTCGAGCTATCCCCCAATTAGTCTCACAAGCTGTGTAGGAAAGACATTGGAAAGAATTGTAAATTCAAGACTGAAATGGCACTTAGAATCTGAGCAGATTTTGGTGCCAGAGCAGGCTGGATTTAGGGAATGTCACAGCATAGAAGACCAAGTCACCTACCTGTCACAAGCTGTAGAGGATGCCTTCCAAGAGAAGAAAAAGGTCCTGGCGGTATGGGTTGACTTTAAACAAGCTTTTGACAAAGTCTGGAAAGATGGTCTCATTGCAAAACTGAAGAGAAATGGAATCCAAGGAAACATGCTAAAATGGATCCAATCCTTCTTACACAGCAGGAGAACTAGAGTCAGTCTTGATGGCCAGCAGAGTAGAAAAGTGTTACTTCGGCAAGGAGTACCACAGGGAGGAGCTATCTCTCCAACTCTCTTTATTGTGTATATAAATGATCTGGTGAAAGACCTACCTACAGGAGTAAAAGCTGCCCTGTATGCAGATGATCTGGCACTCTGGTGTACCGATGAACACACCACAGTGGCAAATATAAGAATGCAGCGAGCACCAGATCTCTTGATGACATGGGCAGAAAAATGGCATGTTGCCATCAACACAGACAAAACATCCACAACGCTTTTCTCTCTTTCCCCCAGGGACAAAGCTGCTAGTATTCACCTAGGAACATCCTTGCTAAAGGAAGAAAGCTTCCCCACTTATCTTGGAGTAACATTTGATAAAAGGCTCACATGGAGCAAACATATAGAAAATGTAGAAGGGAAGGCCAGGAGACGACTAGGTCTACTTAGAAAACTGGCATGTACAGGAAGGGGAGTGAATGGAAAAACCCTAAAGAAAGTTTATAATGGAGCGATAAGACCCCACTTGGAGTTTGGTGCAACAGCATGGTCAACAGCTGCTAATTCCCATCTACAATCGTTAGACAGAGTGCAAAATCAAGCTCTTAGACTCATCACAGGATCCATGAAAACTGCACCAATCCTGAAGATGCAGAAAATAACTGCAATGCAGACACTGTCCTATAGAAGAGACACTAAAACTATGATCCAGATGGAGAAGTTTAATAGTATGCAGTCACACCCAATGAATAAAAGGTTAGATGATCTGGCATTAGGGTGTCTCAAACGTAGCAGCTTTCTACAACGGGGGAAAAGACTTAGAAGACAATATCAAGCTGATCTACCTATTTGAACAACACCGCTGAAACTTACCCTATACCCTGTACCTTTCTTAAATGTTTGTGTATTCTAGACAGGGCAATAAGGTCTACTGTGTACGTAAATTGTTGCTGTGATTGTTATTTGACATTTGCCTCGTTAATATAAATTTCTGTAACCTATGGTGCCATTTCAATGGGTTGAAATGAATTCTGTCCGTATTCCATAGTCGTGGATTTCAAGCTGTACGATAGACATGGCCAATGAGACACCTTTTTTTGGGGGTGCCGAGTTGACCATGTATCTTAGTGCACTTGTATTCATGGCGAGGCGCAGACGCCGTCTGGAGGTGACAGGTTCAATTCCCGGCACGGTAACTATAGCTTTCGATTTTTATGTTGTCTAGTGTGTTCTTCTATCTTTCTACTTCTTTCTATGAGTGCCGTTCACAATACTTTCTGTTACTTGATTAATTCATAATATTTAACGGCTTCAAATGGTTCCCCTCTCTGTTTATTTATAGGAATGACGTATACACACCGGAACCTACCAATCAATACCTTTCTTAAATGTTTGTGTATTCTAGACAGGGCAATAAGGTCTACTGTGTACGTAAATTGTTGCTGTGATTGTTATTTGACATTTGCCTCGTTAATATAAATTTCTGTAACCTATGGTGCCATTTCAATGGGTTGAAATGAATTCTGTCCGTATTCCATAGTCGTGGATTTCAAGCTGTACGATAGACATGGCCAATGAGACACCTTTTTTTGGGGGTGCCGAGTTGACCATGTATCTTAGTGCACTTGTATTCATGGCGAGGCGCAGACGCCGTCTGGAGGTGACAGGTTCAATTCCCGGCACGGTAACTATAGCTTTCGATTTTTATGTTGTCTAGTGTGTTCTTCTATCTTTCTACTTCTTTCTATGAGTGCCGTTCACAATACTTTCTGTTACTTGATTAATTCATATTATTATACGAGGGCAGGTCAATAAGTAAGTTACAAATGGTTATGGGATGGCAGAAAAATGTAGTTGGTGGTTTCTAAAGGTGTCATTAGGTGACAACGACATCAAACTTTAATGTCTCCGTTTGTTATGTGGCGCTAGATGTTGCATGCGCAATTACAACATAGAAACAAAAGGGTGACTGTTTTTATGGAGTGTACCTTAAAAAACAATGTGCTGTTGTGCATTTTTAATGGGCAAAAGAACTGCCTGTAAAGGACATTCATATGGATATATAATACCACTGGAAGTTAACCGACCAGTGACATTCTAGTCAGTCTTATATTGCAACTGTTGGAAACTTCTATAATGTAATTTAAATTTTGGTGACATTTTTGTCAGAAGTTTCTTTCATCAACCATTCAAACTTGTTGTGGACATCACTAACACTTGCCAGGTGGCTGTAATCTATCTCTCCATCTGCTCGGAATGGAGTGAATGAAGGGTGTAATGTTTCTTTATCTGTTTGATGAGTTGGATCCAGACTGCATGAAAGACTATTTTCAGGGATTTCTATCTGCTGGGAACTCAGATGTGATGTCTGTACAATTTTTAGACATGATGGAAATGGCAGGGGATCATCTGTCAGTGAGTTAGGCATGTCATAGAAATAATTTCTATTTCTTACTGGCTGATTTTCATAGACATTTTCATTCTGCGTTTCTACTGAAGCTTCAGTCAATATACTTTCTGCATCAGAATCATGTCTGGTGTCTTTGAAATATCTAGTAGGTGAATCAGAATTTGTAGGAATGTAGAAAGATGTGTTATCATCATCTCCAGTATCTGGGCTGGATTCTTTAGGTTTTGGCAGGGGATCATCTGTCGGTGAGTTAGGCATGTCACAGAAAAAATTTCTATCTGTTACTGTCTGATTTTCATAGACATTTTCATCCTGCATTGGACTCAGCTGAAGAGGTGTGGCCTATATTGTTGAAAGAACCACTTATTGCATCTGATGAATCTCTACAGAAACTTGTATCTCGTATTCCGGTGGGAAGTTCTGCTGCAGATTCATCCATTCTTTCAGAATCTTCCTCCATGATACCACTGATACATCGAGCTGGTTTATCAGAGTTGTTAGAAGATGTATCTTCTGAAATCTGACTGGACTGCAAAAGTCTAGATGTGGCTTGTAGACTACTGATGAGGCTGGTCTTTGAGTTGAGCCCATCGCTGTCCTTGTCATCAGCAATGTTGCTGCCACTTAATGTACTGAAGCAAGAATCTGTTGGGAGAGAAGTAAGAACTCAGCAAAACCAAACAATTTGTTTGTTTAATAAAATATCAAGGTAATCTGATAGAAGATATGTCTGCCGACAACTGGTGAACACGAACAAAACCCCCAAAAACATAAGCTGGAGTTTTTTCTAGGCAATTTTACTTTATTTGCCATTATTAGAGGCTTACTAGCCAAAATAAATAATCTTGTCTCTAGTGGGAGAATAGAACTCAAGTCGCTAACGTCATATATGTGGAAGACAAACATATTTACTGAATAACATTTATGTAAGAACATATTTAACAAATGTATTTGATTACCAGCATTTTTCCTGCATGAGTTTGGTGATTTTGGGGGGAAAGGGGGGAGGGGGGCAGGAGGTGTAAAAAGAACAGACTCACTGCCCCCCAACAAGCATGTTGTAAAACTTAATTAATTTGTGGTGTTTACTTCAAAGATGGAGGGCATCTGCCTTAGGTGAGAAACCAACAGTCTGCATGCAAATAAGCCAAATCTATAAAACAGACATGCACACAAAACTCCAGTTCTGGAACAAGTTCAAAGTCCAGAAGTGGATGAACAACCTTAACTTTCTGCCACAGTTTACAGCCAGTGAGGGCAGAGAAGAAGAACAATTACTAGAATTCGCGAACTATCATCAAAATAGTAGTCTCATGAGAGATATTGCACTTGGGTTGTGAAGAGTTTAGCCTTCAATTTCTAGGTCATAATATAATGAAGGTGGGTGACCAGTTTCCTTAAAGAAAAGTTCACTGTAATTTTTGTAATGTTACTGGTATCTGTCAAATGAGGGTATACATAAAATAGCTTTCCAAAACCCACATTTTTTGGTGGGCATAACTAAAACAGTGGACAAGAAGAAAAATATAAACAATCAAATGTTTCAAAGACTGGCAAAGATTACAGACAGCAAGAAGTAGACATACATACCCTTCCTTGAATCAAGTGTTGTGGATAGAGTAACCTTTGAGTTGTCTTTCTTTTTTGATGAGCCAGACTTGTGTTCCATCAAATGATGGCCAGCTGCATTGTAAGTTACCCCTACAAGCCAAAACAAGATATCAGTATGTGATATAAGGACCTCTTGGCAATGTGGCACAAATGAACATAACTAATTATGTTTATCCTGAGTGCAAGCTCTCTTGTTGTAATCTTCTTTTTCTTCTTAGCATTCGCCAACTGTAAAATCTGATGGAAAGTACTGGTTGCTCATCCACTTCTAGATTTCAGTCTTCATCAAGAACTTGAGTTCTGTGTGCACATCTGTTTTACAGATCTGGCTTATGTGTATGAAAACTATTGGTGTTTTGCCTTTCAAGCAGATATACTATGACTTTTAAGTAAACCCCTTAAATAGTAGACTTTTATAACATGCTTGGTGGGGTCCCCCCACAAGTGTATTTTAAAATGAAAGGACTTTGTTTCGCTAATTCTAGTTTTTTTAAAACATGTTCATACAAATTCATATTCCCAGCAAACGAAACAATATTAGAGTGTCACAATAAAGTGCCACTTTAATGGCAATTAGTCCAACTGAGATGGATTCAAAAGCCACTTGGGTGCCGTCTAGTCCGTAAAGAGTTAAGTTAGTTATGTATCTTTTACCCCAGCATTTTTTAGGGTGGGGGTGGTGGGGGTGGGAGGGGCTGTTTAGTTTCAATGTCGGCGTCTGTGGCTTAGGTGTTATGAATGTGCTTTGTAATGCTGGGGTGCCGAGTTCGATCCCAGCTGCGGGCCTTGTGCCTTGCGACAGTGGTATCGAGAAGCCGATCGTCTAGAAAACAATGGCAAACTACTGGACGTAAACTTGCCTAGGAAAACCACAACAGCCAAAAAATGCTGGAGTTGGTTTTGCAATGACCTGTAAAGGATACTCAACTAACTTTTAGTTTCAATAGGCAATTTTATGTTTAGTAATTTGTCATTGCTTTCTGAATAGTCAGCTCTAGATACATTGTCAAAATTAAAGCAATTCAGTCTTCTGCCAAACTGCAGCATAACCCCCCCCCCCCCCCCCCCCCCCCCCCCCCCCCCCCCCCCCCCCCCCCCCCCCCACCCTTTTCACCGAAGCAAAACTTTATACTATATATTTGTAAACAACTCAATACCTTTGCTATGAGAGTAAGACTTTGAGCTTTCTCCATATTCCTCAAAGCAAGGCAGTGACCTCTTCAAAGCCACAACTGCATCAGTCTTCAGTAGGCAGTAGAAGATGAAAATAAATAGTCCCTAAAAAATAAAAATAAAAGATCAGGGTTGACTAAGTTTACTTAGAGGCCAAAATGTTGGAAATGGTTATCCTATCTGGCAAGAGACCTGAGCTCCAGCATAGAGAGATCAATAATACAAATGGCAATATTCCAAGGGCCCCTTGCTAGAGCTCTGCTTGGCAGGTCTGGCTTGTTGAATAGTCCTGAACTAGATTAATATGTCATGTCAGTTTATTCAGTCTAAAGACACTTGTTATGTGTTGTCTGTATCGACATCCTAGCACACTGATCCAACCCATTCATGCTCCATCCTCGGATGTAGCAGCCTTCTCATTGTCTCCAAGCTCAACATACCCAGCATCTTTGTCCTCGTTTAATACTCTTTTCCAACAGGCGATTAACCATCTCTGACTCCTTTGTCTCAACATCTGTGGAACTGAGCACATTCAGTCTGTCTGCCCTGTCCATACTTCTTCTGCCACTGACCACTGCAGAGAAGGACAGTCTGTTGGCTCAAAGTACAGATGTGAGGTTAAATAGTCATGTGCAGGATTTGTCGATTTCTTGGGCAGTCCAGTACCAGAATGCCCAAGTATCGGCTCTGTATTTAAGGAGGCCTTATTGGTGGGAAATGCCCATGCTCTGCCCCAGTCTTTATTTGAGGGCAGACCAGTCTACATGTTGCTGCCCTGTGTGCTGTTTTGTAGAAACATTATCATTATCATGTGCCGTGCCGGTAAGCATAGGCTGTCATGTTTCACCATCTCACACGATCACCAGAATCCTGGATCAGTTCAATGTTTTTGTCTCACCCCATCCCTTTGGCTAGGGAATCCAGGTATTTATCTCTTTGCCTTCCTCTTGCTCTCTTTCCATCAAACTTGCCAGTTGTTACCAAATTCTCAAGTCAATTTCTTGTCATAACATCTACGGCTAACTGTTCTAATAAGTTTATGACCTTCATCTGTCTTGCTGAGGACTGCTTCATGTGGTTTTCTTTCCTTCCATGACAGCCTTTGCATTTTTCTCAGAAACCATATCTAGGGACAACACATCTAGTTGATCATGGGAATACGAAAATTACCTGACATGTGAAATTACAAATGTCCCATGAAATTAACTTAGAGGACTAACAAATGGCTGAAAAGGTCAAATGAATCGACCGAAAGGCGCAAATATTGCAGCTATGCTATAAACAGGCAAAACGCATTTACGTCCCTTGGAAGAAACAGAAGAGTTCTTCACTAGCTGCTGAAGATGGGGACATAGAGCGTATGGGAATGTCCAGAGTGCTATGATGTCAGTTTTTAACTCAACTCAACTTACAGCATTACCTATCAGAAAAATAACCCTACTTTGTGCTGTGGACTGAACCAGGATCCTGTCTTGACAGCCAAGCACACTGACCACTCTACCACCATAGCTCTTTCCATAAAAATGATACACTTGTGATATTGTTGCTATTATAGCTTCTAAACTTCATGTTGTCTAGTGTGTATTACTATCTTTACTTCTTTCTATGAGTGCAAAACAATGTTATTTTGTTTATTTTACTGTCTCAACGGCTTCAGGGGCTCCCTAGCAGTTTATTTCTGTATGATAAAAGGGAAGAAAGTAGGAGTTGTTTAAGCTGAAATGCAAAAGAAAGATTCTCAGAATACCATGGATCAAGATGATGAGAAATACTGACATCCTAAATGATCTGAACATTTAAAAAAAAAATAAAAAAATAAAAAAATAAAAAAGATTGGCTAATAAACAGCATCTTGTCTTAGAAACTGAATATTTCTGCAAAGGACCTTCTTCGTGATGATGATGATGTTACAAAACACACTGTGTAGTGAGATATGAAGCAGGCAGTAACAGACTATGACTTTTATTTGCTAGTCAAGTAGCTGCTACATCTTCAGATTGAGCGAGTTAACCAATTTTTCTCTGCAATGACAAATGGCTAAGAAAGGGGAACTCTGACATATTTCTTCTTCTTCTTCTTGTTCACCGGCTGTGAATTCCGGCGGTAAGTCGTGGTTGTTCGTCCAAAATGGACTTTTGGCTTTTACCTTGACCTGAGTTTTGCGTGTACATCCATTTTACTGGCTTATTTGTTTGCAGTTCTCGTTCCCCGCCTCTCCGGCAGATGTACACTGACTTCGGAGGAAGACGTCAAGCCTATTTCTATGACTCTGACATATAATTAGAATGTGATGTAGGTAACCCAGGAAGGAATTCGCTTGCCTGACAGAAAAATAAGTCTTCCCTATCTCTGCTTGCATATATCCTGGTAGTCATCTGTTCAATTCTCTCTCAAAACAGAGATTTAAAAAATTGTAACCTGGACTCCTAGGTCACTGGGTTTAAAAAAAAAAAACTAATCTTCTTGCTGTTGACACATAATACGTCCACAAGATATCACTGTTGCTGTTGGTCTGCTACTTTTCTGCCCCTGGTGTCCCATGTCATTTTACATTTCTTCATTTCCTTTTCACAGTCCTTCAAGTTTATTGAGGTCATCGGTGTCTCTTTTTTAAAATCTGCTGTACAATTGTGAGCTGCCTTGCCAAAGTATCATGAGGCATTCTATAAACATGTCCATGCTACATTCATTTTCATCCATTGATAAAATTTGCTAGTGATGAACAAGTTTTCCTCCTCAGTTATTCATACTTGATCTTGTTTTCCCAAGCAGATATAAGGAAATGTTTAGGGGGGAAAAAACCAGCAAAAGTAAAGGCAGCTGGTGTGATACTGATCATATCAACCGTTGATTAAAAACATGGGACTAGTATCATACATGCAATACCAGTTGCAAAACATTTCTTTATTTGTTTACTTTACCTTATGACCCTCTATTCATTTATCTTTTTACCCACTAGCTGCTTACATTTAAAAAAGAATGCCTACCAGTTGTAAAAACGTTCACCCTTTTCATGCCAGTGTGCAATAGGCCTATGATGCTAAACCTATATTTTAACATGCCAGTCAGCACTGGATATCTGATGTTGTCAACAGCATGCTTGCTCTTTTTTGTTCCCAAGATATTTTACATGGTGCACATTTTAGGCTGGTTCAACCAGGGACCCAAGGTTGATTTGGAAAGAAAAAAATTGGACTGTGTATGGATTTAAACCTATGAGCTTCAGGCCAACAGTTGAGCATCTAGCAACTATGCTACCACAGCTACCATATATGCCAGAATTTTAAACAAAGTTACCTGCAGAGAGTTGAATATAGCAAACAGGTAATAGAAGGCAACACTGGCTTGGTCTATGGCAAATATTGCGAATATCCAGGACAGCCCCAGAAGGATGACAACCCCTACAGCTCCCCGCAGACGCTGAACGGTGCTGTGGATGAGAGAACTAATAATTAAAAAAGGTTAGTTGCGTATCCCTTACAGGATGTTGCAGAACCAACCCCAGCAGCCCCTGGCTGTTGTGGTTTTTCTAGGCAAATTTATGTCCAGTAGTTTTGAGCTAATAATTACATTAATTAAAAAGAGATAAATGTTACTCTGTGAGTTTTTGAAATAATCATGATTTTGGAAAGAAAAGGGGAGCTACAAGTGGTGTAGTGGCTAAATGCTCCATCTGCTGGCTTAAAGGCCATGGGTCCAAATCTAAATTCTGTTCAAAAATGAGCTTAGCTCCCAGGTCAACCTAGTCTAAAATGGGTACCAGGTAATGTCCTGAGAAGTAAAAGCAAAGGTGTGATGCTAACTACATCACTCATTAGAGTGTGTGGATGCCTTTTATCTGGAGATCAGAAGATCTCAATCTGGGTGGCAGACCAACAGGATCTGAAGATTTCACACTGTAAGACTAAAAAGTCTTAGCGCTGTTGGCAGACCAACAGGATCTGAAGGTTTGACACTGTAAGACTAAAAAGTCTCAGTGCTGGTGGCAGACTAACAGGATCTGAAGGTTTGACACCATAAGACTAAAAAGTCTCAGTGCTGGTGGCAGACCAACAGTATCTGAAGGTTTGACACCATAAGACTTAAAAAGTCTCAGTGCTGGTGGCAGACCAACAGGATCTGAAGGTTTGACACCGCAAGACTAAAAAGTCTCAGTGCTGGTGGCAGACCAACAGGATCTGAAGGTTTGACACTAAGACTAAAAAGTCTCAGTGCTGGTGGCAGACCAACAGGATCTGAAGGTTTGACACTGTAAGACTAAAAAGTCTCAGTGCTGGTGGCAGACCAACAGGATCTGAAGGTTTGATGCTGTAAGACTAAAAAGTCTCAGTGCTGGTGGCAGACCCACAGGATCTGAAGGTTTGACACTGTATGACTAAAAAGTCTCAGTGCTGGTGGCAGACCAACAGGATCTGAAGGTTTGACACTAAAACTAAAAAGTCTCAGTGCTGGTGGCAGACCAACAGGATCTGAAGGTTTGACACTGTAAGACTAAAAATAAAAAGTCTCAGTGCTGGTGGCAGACCAACAGGATCTGAAGGTTTGACGCTGTAAGACTAAAAAGTCTCAGTGCTGCTGGCAGACCCACAGGATCTGAAGGTTTGACACTGTATGACTAAAAAGTCTCAGTGCTGGTGGCAGACCAACAGGATCTGAAGGTTTGACACTAAAACTAAAAAGTCTCAGTGCTGGTGGCAGACCAACAGGATCTGAAGGTTTGACACTGTAAGACTAAAAATAAAAAGTCTCAGTGCTGATGGCAGACCAACAGGATCTGAAGGTTTGACGCTGTAAGACTAAAAAGGCTCAGTGCTGGTGGCAGACCAACAGGATCTGAAGGTTTGATGCTGTAAGACTAAAAAGTCTCAGCGCTGGTGGCAGACCCACAGGATCTGAAGGTTTGACACTAAAACTAAAAAGTCTCAGTGCTGGTGGCAGACCAACAGGATCTGAAGGTTTGATGCTGTAAGACTAAAAAGTCTCAGTGCTGGTGGCAGACCAACAGTATCTGAAGGTTTGATACTGTAAGACTAAAAATAAAAAGTCTCAGTGCTGGTGGCAGACCAACAGGATCTGAAGGTTTGACACTAAAACTAAAAAGTCTCAGTGCTGGTGGCAGACCAACAGGATCTGAAGGTTTGACACTGTAAGACTAAAAAGTCTCAGTGCTGGTGGCAGACCAACAGGATCTGAAGGTTTGACGCTGTAAGACTAAAAAGGCTCAGTGCTGGTGGCAGACCAACAGGATCTGAAGGTTTGATGCTGTATGACTAAAAAGTCTCAGTGCTGGTGGCAGACCCACAGGATCTGAAGGTTTTACACTGTATGACTAAAAAGTCTCAGTGCTGGTGGCAGACCAACAGGGCAAGTTCTGATATCCTGTTCAACCTCTAAGGAAATTATAGTTAGGCCACCATAATAGCGACACCAGCCTGGTGTAATCTGCAGTCCAATGCACGTAAGAATATTTATCCACTGAGGGTCCAGTGGTATATAAATATATGTATATTTAGCATCAGTGGTCCAATGGGTAAGGGTTATTTACTTACCTTTTACTTAAGAATAATGGAAGAGTTGCTAACTGATAATAAAGATGAAGCTAACAATGGTAGACTATAAAGAGGAGACAAAATTAAGAATCAGACAGACAGTTGAAAAGATTTTTGTCTGGGACTGGTAACTATTGGCAGTATTATACAGTATATGACAGATATCATAATTCATTTTAATACAGGTTTTTCTGATACACAAAAAGGACTTGCACTGCAAAATACTTTATACTAAAGCCACTTATTGAAAAATTTAAAATATAATTAATTGAATAAAAATGGTGAGGACAATAAGACAAGCTTAACATATAATCTAAATTGCCAAAAACATAGGTTACAAAAATCAATTTATCACACCTTATCAAAGAACAAAATTAGACTATATTGCAATTATAACCCAAAAGGTTAATGGTATTAATATACTTCTACTGCTTCTGCTTACAACTACTATTACTATATAAGATGATATGTGTGGCCACAATTTTTAGGCGTGACAAATTGTTTGGCTTCTGACAGATGGTAGCCATTGCATTTTCCTCCATTTGTAGACTGAAAGGATATAGTTTTGTCACCCAGCTACTGAGTTAAGTGCATGTCATGACACTGTGAGCTGCCGATTTCATTTGGAATGTTTTTTGACTGTGACCAATGTGGTGTTGTAAACTTTAGATTCAGAAAATGTCGCATGGCTTTATGCCACAGAAAGGTGATGCCTTTTGTAATTAAAATTGATCAAGTGTGCAACTGCTGATCTTTTGTAGCTGCTGCTTCTGTCAGTGATAAGCTGCATTTCTAATGTCGGACTGTTTGTGTAAGCACTTTCGATGGCTGTGTATTAGCTTTTAATGTATGTGTATGCTGGTACTGCAGTCTGTGTCAGTTTTTGTTCTACAAAAGATAGTGATGGATATTCTGTGTGGTTTTTGTTGGCACTGAAATGGACCAATTATGGGGTGACTCGATTGCTTTAAAGCTTAAACTAAGATTACCAGACAAGTCTGTTTTTTTTAATCTGTGTATGTTTATATATATTTTCTAATCTATAAAACAAACAAATAAATCCATGAATTAGTGAAGATGATGTGATAAACCAGACAAAGATATACCTGTTTCTCTCTGTCTTATTTAGCCGTATGCTGGACATGCTGGCCAGTTGCTTGACAACAAGGATGAAAGCCATGCAGTTTATCAACAAAATCAAACAGACTGGGGCAAGAAATGCAGCATAGAAAGCTGGGTTCTTCAACCAACACCTACAGACAAACAGGCAAGTTAGACATAGAATATAGATAAGAATCCACATATGCAGTGTCAGTGGTTTCTATATTTATGTTATCATATTTAGTCAATCTTGAGGAAAAAATATAGACAACAATACACATTTGTAGTTTCAGTGGTTTCTATAGATATGTTATCATATTTAGTCAATCTTGAGTGTAAATATAGATAACAATACACATTTGTAGTTTCAGTGGTTTCTATTTACATATGTTATCATATTTAGTCAATCTGGAGTGTACATCTATAAGCTTCCACTGGAACACTTCCCATCAGAATACAATTGTGAAGACTTAATCACCCTCCTCACATGAAAGCAATATACGATTGTATTTAAACTGCAAACTAGACAACAGACTTCACATTCATATGTACAAAAACATTCAAAGATTTAGAACTCAAAACTTTGCCCAAGTAGACAGGCACTGCAGAATATTTAACATGAGCAGCAGAACTGTTCTTTACATGCAGTAGAAAGGTTCCAGGTCTGGCAAGTTGGTATTCCAGTGAAAACCAAGCTGTATGAATCACTGGAGGACATGTATTGAAAGAGACCTGGGGCCTTCTCATCTGAAAACCATAGGCAGGGATAAAGATAAAAAGAAGAAGGTGTCAACCTGAATATATTTAGAGAAAACAGGTTAACAATGTGGACATCTTCACAGTTTATCCTCATACTGATTTGGTGTTAAAATGTTAATAAGGACATATTTTATATATATATATATATAAAACGACATCTGTGCAAACCAATCCATAGTCATGATAAAAGACACATGATACATTGAATGCTGTAATCATACTGAATGCCGCTGTTTGTAAAACAATGAAGATAGACACACAATACACTGACTGCTGTAGTGATTCTTCATACTACTATTTATAAAACAATGAAGATAGACTCATGATGCACTAAATGCCATTGTGAACTTAATGCTGCTATTTGTAAAACAATGAGGATAGATGCACGATACACTGACTGCTTTATACATACTTATTGCTACTGTTAATAAAACAATAAGGATAAATGCAAGATACACTGACTGCTGTAGACATACTTAATGCCACTGTTTATAGAACAAGTATAGATGCAGGATAAACTGACTGACTGCAGTAGACATACTTAATGCAACTGTTTATAAAACAAGTATAGATGAAGGATAAACTGACTGCTGCAGAGACAGGTGTGACTGTTTATGAAACAATTACTCACATGATACACAGACTGCTGTTGTGCTGCATGCTGCTATTTATAAAACTGTGATAAGGATAATGACGGTAGAGACATATGATACTGTAACCGCTGTAATGATACTTACATGCCACTGTTTATGAAACCATAATTGTCAGTTTTGTTTACACCCAGTGTGATGATAACAATGACTAATGGAACTCCTGAGCAGAAACAAAAGAAAATACATTATAAGTGTACAAGATCACCTGCAAGTTTTCTTGAGGTGTTTTATTCTTTAACACCTCACCCTGTGGTTTCTGGGGCCACATTGTGAGAGGGAGAGAAAAGGGGCCCCTGCCCCCTTCTTAACAAGCATGTCTTAAAAACTGACTAATTAAGGGTGTTTCCTTCAAAGTTGGAGTGCATCTGCCTGAGAGGAAAAGAACCAAAAGTCTGCATACAAATAATTCAGATCTGTAAAATGGATATGCATGCAAAACTCAAGTTCTGGAACAAGACAAAAATCTGGAAATGGACAAGCAACCAGAACTTCTTCTTCCTTTTCATAAAGTCCATGCCGTGTGGCGTTGGTATTAAGTTCTATTCACAAACTTCTGTCTCGTGTACTTTTAATCAACGCTGATACAGGTGATCCTCCATGCCATGATGTCAAACTGTCCAGCATTTTCTCTCAATCTACTCCTTTCCCTCTAACTTTCCTACTCTACTGTCACGATGTACTCTAGTTTTCTCCTGATCACATGACCAAAGAATGTAGATAGTCTCTTTATTTTCAGAACTTAACTACAGTTAACAGCTAGTTAATGCTAAGAAAAAGAAGCATCTATGTAATCAAATCTTTCTTATATAGGGAAATCTATCTTTCTTGTATTACACAATATATCTGTCTTATATAATAAAATCAATCTTTCTTATGTAAATAAATATACCTGTATTGAAATTAGCAGTCTGACAATTTTCTTTTCATAGTCATACAATTCTTTCCCTCCTCTAAAGCTGTTCTTTGTGCTGTTCTGAGCTTCTCTTGGAGTCTTTTAGCACACACATTGTGACTTCTTGGCAAACATCATCTTAGTGGAGACCAGTGTTGCTCCTCTTTCATTAGACAAACTGATGCCAGATATAAGGACCCATACGGAGGTGAGGACAGGACTTGGTTACTATGAACTCTGACCTTGGCACATCAGCCCCTCTACATTTCAGTGGCTGTCCTAATGATAAATGGCAGCCCTGCAGTCTCACTGAGACAGGGGTCACTAACTCTGTCAGAACCACAAGGTTTTGCCCATAAAAGGAAATACATACTTTGCATGGGAAATTATAAGTGTACTGCTTTCAAAAAGACTAATTACACATTGAAACCCACCCTAGGGAGGACAGATTTTATAAGTATTCCAACCAAATATTTAAAAAATAATATATAACCGATGGATGAGATTCAATGAGGATAAATGATAAAATTTCAGGGAAATTGGATGCTGTGCTGTAAAAAGACTATTCTGCATCATCTCAACCAACCTTTTGAAAAATGAACAAAGAAGAAGAAAACCAATATCATCTTGTGCTTACCCCAGCCAACCAGTGAACATTTGAGGATAAAGTTGGTGTAATAGGTCTTGAACACAACCACTAGAGCCAAGTACATGTAGAATGCTTCCACCGCCATCCAGGTCAAGGAGGCCAGGAGGAAGTAATGCAACAGAACTGCTACAGCCTGCCGATTCAAATAGAATATATTTAATTAAATTTTTTTTTATCTAGGAATGCATTCTGAAAGATTAGCACCTAATGACTCAAAGAGACACTGTTGAGATGAGAGTTCTACAGGAGTAACAGATTCAACCAATTATAAAGTTATATAAGAGCGCCTGACAGTAAATTAGAAACCTGTAATGATTGTGGGTGGGGTTTTTGTGCTTACTGGGATTATAAAAGATGTATTTCTGAATAAATGTTGAATGTACAAGACAATGGCAGTTAAAAACTCTTTTAAAATAATTATTTATTCATTCACTGATTTAAAATGTTTCTACTTCTTTTCGCCGTAGCATACAGACATAAATTAATTTTCTGTAGTTTTTCTCTGTTTAACCTTTTGAGTAATATCAGATAATTTAACATATTTTATTATTATAAAAGATGAAAATTGTTATTTAAATTCCTGTCATCCCACACTCTTATAATTATTCTTTTACATCTAGACTTGGCTCAGGCTGACCTTGGCAAAATGTGGGCGGGGGTGGGGGGGGGGGGGCAAATTTAGGATTTAGGAGGCGGCAAAATATAACTACTAGTTAACAAAATATTAATATCTTTATTGCTGTTATTATGACAGTTTCATCTTGTTTTTTTTTATATAACTGCTCCACTAAGACACAAATCAACACATTTGTTTTATCTGTTGCTTATTCAGTTAAGTTTAAATACTACAGTACAGTTTAAAAGGTAAGTAAATAATCCCACAACTTACTGCTGATGTGACACTGAAGTTTCAACAAGGGAAAAGGTGGCATAAAAATATGACTGCATAGGGGCAACATGAATTCAAAATATGGCTATGATGCTTAGTCTTGACAAATATAGTGCCATCCCCATATTTCCAGTACATCAAACCATATAAACAAATTCTTTTACCACAGATAATAAATGTCACAAAGTTACAGCAACATATTACGAAGCATATAAATCAATTTTTCCACTGAAATACACAAATTACAATGTCTCTAATTACAATGTACATCTTACCACCTGAAATTGAAGTTTAGCCACTTAATTACTACAGAAGTCTCAAATTTACCATATTTTGTTTTTAAATACAATGTAGGAATTGTTTATTCTAACTGTCATAGCTTCCGCCAGTTTCAGTAAGCATCTGTTATATAAACTGTTCAACTCAAGCTAACAACAAAGCAACAATGATGATAAAGCTACATCAAGAACAACAACTCACTTTGCAAGAAGCTATATTACCAAAAGAGTAGTCCTGCATGCCCAGTAGGAAGACCAGATTGGAGCATAACAATGCCAGGCACAAGTTGATGAGGATCTTAGATGGGTTGTCTCGTCGCAGTTTTCTGTAGACACAGGAACAGATCATTTAGTCAAACCAAGTATAGTATTGAACAGAATGAAGGAAGAGACTGTGAGTCTCATGTGACATATGTAGTTGAGTATATAAGATGGAGACATAACTTGTTAGAGTATATACAGAACAGAATGGAGGAATAGGCTGTGAGTCTCATGTGATGTATGTAATTGACTAACTAACTTTCTACCCCACCAGGACATCACACAAGCGATAAACACCTGATGACACAAAATGCCACCATGTGGGTGAGGATCACCGAGGAGAGGTCCCAGAAACAGCATTCAGCCTTTAGGCCATATTAATGACCAGGCTATATTGCGGCCGCTGGCAAGAGCCAGAGTAGGACTTCAAATAACGTAAAATTTCATCCTAAAAAGGACGAGAAGTAAACCGTATATATTGTATGTAATTGTATGAGTATAGAAGATAGAGACATAACTTGTTACAGTATAGTACAGAACAGAATGGAGGAATAGGCTGTGAGTCTCATGTGATGTAAGTAATTGTATGAGTATAGAAGATAGAGACATAACTTGTTACAGTATAGTACAGAACAGAATGGAGGAATAGGCTGTGAGTCTCATGTGATGTAAGTAATTGTATGAATATAGAAGATAGAGACATAACTTGTTACAGTATAGTACAGAACAGAATGGAGGAATAGGCTGTGAGTCTCATGTGATGTAAGTAATTGTATGAGTATAGAAGATAGAGACATAACTTGTTACAGTATAGTACAGAACAGAATGGAGGAATAGGCTGTGAGTCTCATGTGATGTAAGTAATTGTATGAGTATAGAAGATAGAGACATAACTTGTTACAGTATAGTACAGAACAGAATGGAGGAATAGGCTGTGAGTCTCATGTGATGTAAGCAATTGTATGAGTATAGAAGATAGAGACATAACTTGTAACAGTATAGGACAGAACAGAATGGAGGAATAGGCTGTGAGTCTCATGTGATGTAAGTTATTGTATGAGTATAGAAGATAGAGACATAACATTTTACAGTATAGTATAGAACAGAATGGAGGAATAGGCTGTGAGTCTCATGTGATGTAAGTTATTGTATGAGTATAGAAGATAGAGACATAACTTTTTACAGTATAGTATAGAACAGAATGGAGGAATAGGCTGTGAGTCTCATGTGATGTAAGTTATTGTATGAGTATAGAAGATAGAGACATAACTTGTTACAGTATAGTATAGAACAGAATGGAGGAATAGACTGTGAGCCCCATGAGACGTGTGTAATTGTGCGAGTATAGAACAATGACGATTAACTTGTCATGTTATTTTACAAGTACTGTACTTCTCACTACTGAAGTCTTAGATTGACTATGTGATCAACAGACAGAATTCTTAGAGCCAGAACTCATAATAGTCATATTTTGTGCATTACAGGGGAGACAAACTTTAGTTAAAGAGGCATGAGAGAATTATGAATTATCAAGAGAATTATGAATATAAACACATATTAAACCTAACAATCTATACTCTCACAGTTTGTTACAATTAATACATATGTCTATGCAATATTAAATAAAAGTCACTGACAAGGATAAATAGTCAATACTCAATATAAAAAGGGAAACAAATTATGTGTGTGTTTGTTTGTGTGTGCCTGTAAATTATAACCAGATGGGCTGTAAAGGATATTGTAATTTGAACTATTACTACAATAACACATATTTTAGAGTTTTAAATCACAAGTATAATAACGGGGAGTCGCTGTGGTGTAGTGGCTAGATACTCACCTGCGATCAGAAGTGCCAAATGGTCTTTAAAATATAGGTCTAGCCCTATATGCCCAATATGACTGAAATCCAGGAAAAAGTTCCTTTACTTTACTTTACTGACACATAACAAACATGTAATATTACAAGGGAGTGATTTTTGTTACATGTAGTTAAGATTATAATAATTAGTAAGGGAAGGTGCAATATAACTAATTATCACAATATGCAATGTAACAATTAAACTGAGGGAATATGAATGGTAAAAGGTAATATAGGAAATAACAATTAATACATATAATGTGAAATGTAACTATTACACATATTTTTCAAAATTTCAAGGCTAAAAAAAAAAGACAGTTAACAGACTGAAAGACTAGATGGGGAAAATAAATATCTGATGTATCTGATGATTAGAGCATGTACATATTCATTAGAAATTAGCAATACAATCTCAAAGTAACACCAAAGATCTGATTGACTTGTTATAAATAATTATATTTTCATATATTCATTTATATTCATATTATTCACCCACTGAAATCATTTAGTCTAAAATACTTAAAAATTTGACCAGACTGGTGTCCCGCTATTACGGAAATGTCCTAATCTGCCGCTAAACCGGTGTCCCTCAAAGTGGCTACTTTGCGTACTAAGTGAAAACTGTGAGTCACAAACTAAAAATAACTAGCCAGTGGTGGTCAGACCTTGTGATTAATTATTGCGACTTGCTGCTCACATGTGTCTGGATTTTCATTGTGTGGTTTGACGTGAAAAAAATTCTGAAAATTCGCAATGAAACGAGCGGCTGATGAACCAGGCTTTTCATAGTCCAACAGGTGATCGATACTTTGGTTAAATTAGACTGAGGAGTCAGAATTTCATGAAGAATACATTCCCAGCTGAAGTGACACAGTCAGTGAGAGGTCGAGTGATGAGGAGAATCTTGCAAATTATAGATTTAAAACTAGATCTATAGTAAGAGAAGGGGGCGTGTCCCTCAAACAGCAACATCTGGTGCTCACTTTGTGAAACAAGGCCAATCTTTCTGGATGGAATTGCAAACAAAAGTGGAATATTGGCGTTAGATGAAAGGGAAACCTATTTTCTACAATGCCTCCAAGTTTCAACTTATTCTAACCACTTGTATGCATGTAACTAATATTTGTGTATATCATGTTGGTTTTTTCGTGTTGATGCCCAGAAGCTCAGGAATAAGGGCAGTTAGGTTCAGGTCCTCTGGTCTGGTAGGGTTAATTAACAGTAAATTTCAGGATGGACACCAATCAGTGAAGTTGAAAAAAAAAAAAAATGTGTGGCACAGACAAACACACAAGGGTAAAGATTCAGAAACTGTTACTAGGGAAGAAGGAAAACAAATTTGTTTGGTTTCTTTTTCTTTTAATCTTCAGTTATTTTATTGTGTGATTAAGTATGGACCAATGTTTTTTAATTGTGTGGCCCCAAGAAGCGAATATTGTGACTCTGTCGTCCATTACAAATACCTATATGGTAGATACTCTAGATACTCTGGATTTACAGCTTTGCCAGCCCCATAAAGCCTAATTAAGGATGCTAGTCCTGTTTGCATCGTTTTCTAATGGGGGGCGGGGGGAGGGGGGGGGGGGTTTGGCTTTGATTATTTTTACTAAAAATAGCACTTGAGGCTGCTATTGTGGGGTGGGGGGGGGGGGGGGGGGGGAAGAAGGGTTGTTTTCAGTCATTGTATGACTTTATATTTTGAAAAAAAAAAAAAAAAAAAAAAAAAAAAACTTTTTTATAAATTTATTTTCTGAAATTGTTATCGATATGTGTACAATGTTTTTAAAGGTTTTTTCTCCTATAAATAGCCAGGTTTTAGACCTGTCTTTCCCAAGGGTTTCTGGGGTGAGGGATTAATTCATTCACATTTTAAACACTATTTATTTACTGTTATTGACAAATAAAGGATTGATTTAGTAATGTTATTGCTGTTAGTTAATTTTAACTCTTTCAGTCCCAAGGAACACGTCATACGTTCACAGGTTCCTACCCAGAAACCCAAAGAATGCAAGATGGGCTGATTTTATGTCTCTCTTGACTACCCCTTGGGCCTCTGGTGCTAAATCCTCTGAGACTCAAAGAGTTTAAAAAAAATAGTGAAAAGTGCAAGTAAATCAAACCATGCACAGAAATAGCAGATGTTAATAAAAGCTTGCATTATAGTGTACAGGATTTTAAAAAATTGCTGTCCTCATACCCAGTTTTTGGGGGAATATATAGTGTATTGGGCAGCCAAAAGAAACTGGTAACCACAAATATTCCCACAGGAACAAATATCTGTTTACTAATAAATACTATTAAATACTGGGTTTAAAAAACATTACACTTTGTTCTGGGATACAAGGCTATCATCATCACTTATAGAAGTTATCTTGTCCAAGACATTACTAGTGGACATGGTAAAAGTAAAACCGGTAATCTTTTTTCAGGTCATGATGGATATTTAGTTAATGATACAATTCTCATATTTTTACCATCATCATTTTCACAATGTACCCTACTGTTAAGCATGATGAAAATACTTCACCATCATATACAGTCACTGGAATAATAATCACAAATCACATCACTGTTCTTTTCTTGTCCCATCCACATGACCAGCAGTGTTATTGTTGCTATTATTTCTAATACTACCATGATTGTTACTCTTATTGCTTTTATTTTATTATTATTACAATTTTCATATTTTATTTATATATGAGTCATTCTGCATCATCTTTTCTTCCTCCTATTTTTTATATTTATTCACTTACCTTCCAACTAACCAGAATGCTCTCCCCTTTTTGAAGATTTTTGTCGGTGCTACAGAGTTTCATGCATCTGAGCTGAAACCATCTTAGAAATATGTTCAACAGCATGCAGTGGATTTGATGTATCAGTTGCCACAGGCTGGGGGATATACTGAAGATGGGATCCGAGCGCTTATGGACTTGACCGATGTGCAATGAGGATAATCTGATGATTAACTAACTAACTCTCTCCTTTTGTTGTTGTTGTTTTCTTATTTTGCTACCGAAACATCTGATTGTTCCTATGTATGTTTGTCCCCCCTTACCGCCTTCATTAAGTTCTTAGTTGCATTTCAGAGGATTAATTTCTCCAAATGGCCAAGTCATGCAGGTATTTATCTCTGTCTTCTCCTTGATCTTTTTATGTACATCTTGCTACATGTAACCTAGTTCTCCAATACGTTCCTTCTCAATGTCCAAAACATGCTGATTGTCTATGTCTATGTCTAGTTTATGGGTTTCATCTGTAATGCAAAGGACTGCCTTGTTTGTTTTTCTGTCATTCTATGATATTCAATACTTTTTGCCTTCTTCTAAAAACATAAACAAAAACCACATCTATTATATGCAACAATATTGGTGTTTTATAGAATTTGTAAGATATTTTTTCTCACTGAAATTGCCATCTTTTTATACATAGTGGCAATTGTTAGTTTACATTTTCTATATCACCAACATAATTATTTGAGTATGTAATGTTATAAGAATATAACAGTAGTTTTAAAAGACAAGTTAAATGATATATCTGGGTTAATTAGGGAGGAAATAATGAGACAGAAAACTGCCAGGATACGGTCAATACCTCTTTGGTTGGGCTTGATCAGAAAGGCTGTATTGTGTCACTTGCCTTATGGTGGCGATCAAAACAAGAACAATTTTAATAATCAATGATGATATAGAGTTAAAAAGGAATAATTTATGAAAATGCTAGTGTTGAAACAGCAAATACAAGACAGAATTTTTTTGTAAGATAATGAGCACAATAAACAGGGAAACAACACAAAAACTCTTACGTTTATACTAGACTAGAATATTAGGTTCAAGTTACAATAAAGGATGAAATGAGGATGTTCATTGCCCTTCATTTTACCCTATATGTCTTGGCATTTCTCCACAGATTGGTAAGCGACTGTCAAGAGCATCACACAAAACATGAATTCTTTAGCTCTGACAACAATCCCTAGGGATCTCCATAAAACATGCATTCATAAAGTAAACAGAGCAGTTCTTGAAAAGGAGTCTATAACCTTCAGAACCCAATGCAAGCATCTGATTACTTCATTGCAGACACCCATGACTAGCATATAATTAAGACATCAATAAACAACAGTAACAGAAAACATGAAAAGCACATGATGCTGTTGGAAAAAATATCAATCCACCATTGAAAAAAAATACTACAGACACAACCAAGAAAATATTTGTTTTGAAATAATAAAATAAATAAATAATGAGGTTTTGTCATTGTGTATCATTAGTCTGAGATTATAAAATCAATGCCTAGTGAATGGACAGTAATGTTTAAGAATACCACATGCCTGTGTGGTTTACGGGAGCCAATTTGTGTTCGGGTGGGGGGGGGGGGGGGATGCTGCTTATTAGGAGCTGACTGAAATCAGATGTTTTGGGCAGGAAGGTGCAGAAATCACTGCCTAGCTGTAAATCGCAACACCATGTGCCAACTAACCTTATAAGGGGGAATATAGAAGAAGAAGAAAAGAACATACATTCAACAGATACCAACAAAAAATAGAAAACATAAGATTCACAACATTTCTGTAAACAACAAAAACTTATGACATTAAAAAAATGGATGCCAAGATACACAAGTATGTTTACCCTTATGTAGCTTCTCCTGTCTTGGTGATGGTTAATATTAAAGATACAAATAAAAATCACATCAGTTATGTCTGCAATGATGGCAGGTCAGCATTGTCATGGGATCAAACTGCCACCTAGTCAGAATGTCATGTAGTCAGTGTTTTCATATGGTCAAAAATTGTCATGGGTTGACCCGATAAATATTAAAGTCCTGTCAGTATTTAACATTGATTCCTGGGCTACTATATTGAAATGGCAATATACTAACTGCTGCAATACCATGCCTCTACACTTTTTCCTATAAAGGTGAGTTCAGGTGAAGGATCAAATTAATTTCACAGAGGTCTCCTCCCGTGGGTTTCAGGGCCCTATTTTGAGGGAATGAATACTAACCTACTAAGTAAGTAAAGTGAGTCAAGCTTCCTTTTCACGCCTTAGGAGCACAGGGCAACCATACTAGGTGGGTAATGTGGTCAGCATTATGCCGGTCATCTTTACTTCCCCAGGACATAAATTCTGGTACCCATTTTTTTAAGGCTTGGTCGACCTGCACTAACCAACTGTCCCACTATAAACAGGAAGTCACAGAAGGGGACTAATGATGGATTTGCTGAAACTAGATGTGTTGGGGAGAAAGGTGCACACACTGCAGCCTAAACGTAAACCACACCACAACATTCTGACCTCTCTTTTAAGAGCAAATCAGAAGAAGCACTAAGGTCTAACCCCACAGGTTCATTTCTCTTCTCAGCATGGCTGGCCACCTGCCAAAAGCAACATACAAAGCACAAACACCTCAGATCCAGCTACAACCCTCAGGGATCTCTGGGACTTAGCAATCATGAATGGAACAGATGCAGTCCAAACATGAGCCCACTATCTTTAAAGCATGAAGGAGACATTAGTGTTAGATGACATTTTTTGAAAAACATTTCTTGTTGCTGCTGCTTCCTCAACCTTCTCTGCTTCTATTCCTTTTCATCATCTTCTTCCACCTCCTCCATTTTCTTCTAGCGCTTCTTCTAGTTTTCATTTTTATGGTCTCAGACTATGAATATACTTCTGGAGCAAGCTTTAGTAAACACCACATAAACTGTGGCTTTTGTTAACATATTGTTTTAGTCTCTTAATTGTAGTTCATTTAACTGTTTTAAAATCTTCACTCTTTGTAGCAATGAAAATCAAACTTTTTTTCCTTTCAAGTTTACTGTTAGTTGACCACTTCTATAGTATAAAGGTGAATTATTCTAAAAGCTAGTATATCAAAAGTAAAATAAAGCCAAAACCAAAAAGAAAAAGAAAAGAAAAAAAGAAAAAGGAAAACTAAGAAAACTAGATTTAGATTTCAGTGCATTCAAACAATTATGTAGAAAAATTGCCTTAAAATTAAATAATACAAGGTGCAAAACTATGTTCTAATAATCATTCTTTTTTTTACAAACTTTTAAAAAAGGTAGCTGCCTATCATGTAGAGGTAGTTACAAACCAGCACCATCATTTCATGGCTGTTGTGTGGTTTCACTAGGTAATTGTACATTCAGTTTTTAAAAAAAAGCTTAGCAATTTAAAATAAAAAGCACATTTAAAACTTACTTGAATACGCCGTAAGTTATCAGGGTTATTAGAAGAGCAAAACAGGAAATTCCACAGCCAACGTAAGAAATAATGGAGAGAATCTGGCGATCAAGGGCACTTAACTTGCTGCCTTGCTCATACACATCCTGAGGATGAGATTTAAAAAAAAAAATAAAGTAAATTAGTTAGCCAAGGTTTCAACTTCAGTGCAAACAGGTCACCACATAACTGTTCTGTTCCTGTGGCAGTGGAAATCACACAAAATGTCCTTCACTGTTGTTTTTTGAAAACTAATTAAATGCAAATCAGTCCCAGCAAAATCTTAAAGCTTACATACACAAAGTAAATGCACAATGCAGCCATCAGATGTGCCAATACTAACAGTCTCCCACCAGAAATGCAGATCAAACTTGATGCAAGCAGTAAATTACAGTTCCAACATCACAGTAAATGGGTCACCCCATAGTGCTCTATTCCTGTGCCAGTGAAAGCAACACAGAATGTCTATCACTGTCCTGTGTGAAATAACAGACTGTAGTCTTAGTAAAGCCAATAGCATACACATGCACTAAATGCATACAGCAGCCACCAGAATTGCCAACACAAACAGTCAAGCCCTTATAAGCAGTTCATCTTTGATCGAAGCAGCAGTTACAACAAAATAGTAGCTGCTAACAAAATCGCATAAGGCACCACCGGTTCTGTGGCAACAGGCCGCTCACCATTTTCTGAATCTGCAGTTTATAACACAAACTAGGTTGAGCAGTCAAAAAGCACTTCAGCTCGCAGAGTCATGCCACACATACAACTCAGTAGCTGGCGATAGAACTATATTCTTAGAGTCCAAATATAAGGAAAAATAACTTGTTGCTATTAGAAACAGTCAGCTCATCTATCTGCCATATTGGACAGCAAGCCAATCAGTTATGAAAGTTGGCATGTGCACATGCAGTTATGTATAAATACATGCTAATCCAAACATAATAATGTAGAAATGAGTAGATTACATGTCATAAAGCTTGTCTACACGATGTGGACTGTGACTGACAGCTTGACTGGGATTGTTTACATTCTCTCTTCAGAGAAGCAGAAAACCATTACACTGTCTATGACTTGCAGAACCCAAGTAAACCCTATCTCTTAAAAACTTTAGTCAAGAAGCTGTGGCCATGAGGTGAGGAGCTAACTGGCTCGTGTAGGAGGACTCATATAGGTTGATTCATTCCTTCCCCCCTCCATGAACCCCAAACTGTGACCAGCCTAACAGTCCCTGGGAACCCCAGATTTGCTGAGTGAAAATCAAGACCATATTTTAAAATCAACCCAAACAGGAATTTAAAAATATGACCATCAGGCAGGCATTTGAATTACCTCATTACTGTGGTGACCTCGTAGTCAGCAAAAAATCATTAAATAAATCAACACTGAAATTGTCAGTTTTCAAATGTTGACGGCATTTAAATGGCTGAAAATTTATTTAGTTAATCTCATGAATAAAAAGGCATTCTTAAAGTATATATTTCTCAAACATCAGGCCATTAAGAATTTAGCATAAACATCTAGTTCATTGCTTTATGGACTGAAGCAATCAGCTATATTCTTTGCAGCCTTGCTTTTTCCAATTCAGAGATACCTATTTTATGAGTCTGCATTAAAAGGGTCTGTATTACCTGAAACTGAATTGTACCAACAGCTCATGCCATAAAAGAATAGCCTAACCTCCCTCCTGATGTATATTTTAAACAGTTTAAATGGGATTTCCATTGTAACTGAGCAAAGTTTTATCCCAAGAAGATCAGTCTATTTCCAGGGATTCACTGGTTGCCAAGAAAGTTTTGTGCAAAGCATTAATAAGCTCATAGTTCCATCAAAATGCAGAGATTAAACTGCTTTAAAAACCTATGGCAAAGCACTAGTAATTTGGATAAAGTAAAAATTTTGAGATCATGCATTTTTCCTGTGGCAAATTACGGTTGTGAGTCTTGGAATCTCACTCTGTCATTGAGGAAAAAGATTGGAGCTTTTGAATTAAAATGTTATAGAAAAATTCTTAGAATACCATGGATCAGAAAGAGGAAAAACATCGACATTCTGAACGAGTTGAAGATCAAGGAGAACTGGCTCATAAACAGAATCCTGTCCCAAAAGTTGAAGAATTTTGGCCACATCAAGCGTCGTTTTGGCTTGGAAAAGACGGCGATGGAAGGTGAAGTTTGTGGAAGGCGTGGCAGGGGTCAACCACCAAGAAGATGGATACAAGACATTGAGGATGCATTGGCATTGGCATTGGCCAGAGAGCTGGCTAAGAAAAGGGCTACTTTCAGGCGTGCCTTGAAAAGAGCGACGTTCTGTAAAGGACTTGCTGATTGATGATGATGAGTTCCATCAATGTACACTTAAAATATATTGAACTTTACAATCTATACTCTTAAAATTGTATACTACTGATAACAAGCCATGCATTATTAAATTACCAAAAATAATTATTAGGCACAAATATCCATTAATGAAAAGATTTTGTATAAAAACTATTTATCCCAAGTATAACAGGATATTGTTGTTTAAATTACTACTGCTCCAATGATCTCCCAACGTCTCTGAAAAACCTGCACTCACAAACAGAAGAGCAATGTGCAAATTCAAATTCTTGGAGAACAAAGCAAACAACTACTTCACCACAGTGATACTCAGAACACTTACCATAAGCAGGGCAAAATTTGTCAGATGGTTACAACCGCAGGTAGTACTTTGTGAATTGGATGTCACAACACCACACCCGGCATTAGACCAGTCACCTTTACCATCTGATAATTTGTCATCCCAAAACATACAACGGGCATTCTCAGATTTCTGCAAATACATATGAATAAAGAAAACAGTTATGGTAATATAAGCAAAATTGAACAAAATAGTTAATGCATGCAGCATAGACATTGTGAAAGTTGCTTTACAGAATACCAATTTAGATTCCACTGCAGACTCTTTGACAGCACGCCAGGTTGCCCTGATTTTAATAATGATATGGAGTGCCAACCACAACCAACCATCCAGAAAGCACTGGCAAACTACTGTAAAATTTTTTAATAAAACCAACAAAAAAATGTTTGGGTTAGTTCTACAATTTCCTGAAAAGGATGCACAACTAACTTTTTAACTAAAATTAACTAAGCATTATCAAAATCTGCATGGAGAAAATTCTTGCACAGCACTAAGTAAACAGCCACAGTTAGAAGTTCCTATTACTGATTTCTCATTTTATTTTTTTTAAAATTTTTAAAAATATTAATGACATCCTCTTCTTCACTGCTACTTTGAGGTGGTTGCATCACATGAAATTCTACATTCCAGAGGTCATGTAACCAACTTTGGCATGTACCAGTTCAAAGGTTACTTCCACTAAATAGATGCCATAAACAGTTTTAAGCTCCATCAAAAATGAAGGGCAACTTTAAGAAATAAACACACAGCATTCATTGGTAATGGGATACTAAGAAAAGTATTATAGAACATCATGGCAAGAAAGACTGGTGGTACATGGGGCACAGGCAGACTGATAGAAATGATAGTGGATAGTTTAGACAAAGGAGTACAAATGTGTCTGTAGGTTGTTGTACAAGTGGAATGTGTTGGCTGGAAGGTGCAAATATTGCAGCTATACAGTAAACGGGCACAACACAACTGTAGTAGTAGTGATAGTAATTTTTAAAAAAAATATCACGTTCAACCCTCAGGGTTCTAATAGGGATTTTAGGTGTTAAATCAAATTCTCAGTCTGTATTTGTTATTTTATATTTATATATATCATGTAAATATATATATATATTAAATAAAGGAAGTTCTATAAAGTACACATATTTTATCTATACTTACATTGTTTGAGTGCTCAAAGTTCATTGTAATGTTGCGGTTCAGATTTTCAATTTTGACCCCTGGCACACTTGCAGACACAACATGACTGTTGATTTTAGTTACAAGGGTATATGATTCATTTTTTCTGGTTTCATTATCATTACCATAACTACCAATATTACGAACTTGATTATCATTATCATCATCATCACTGATTCTTTGTGTATTTCCACTGCTTCTTATCACCTGGGATAGAAAGAAGAAAACATATATATAGTAAAACAGGAGGAAATGAAAGACATATTAACAGCAATTTTAAAACAGTTCACATCAGATTAAATCATTCATAAGCTTCAAAAAATCATAAAGCAGCACTTCTTCTTCAGAATTCTGAGCCCTTGAGGTTCATTGCTGCAGATATCACCCACCTCCATACTGCATATTGCAAGCAGCACATATATTGCAATTAATAATAGACTACAAACATTCATTAATTGCTGCCTGCACAGAATAGAGGGAATTTAATGGTATGATATAATCACCAATGTAGAGCTTTGGGAGAGAGATAAACATGTTCAAGCAGACCAAGAGGTGTAGAAAAGATGTTGACATTAGATAGGACACACGTTGAGAAAACCTGAGGACAATATAACTATAATGTCTTTGCACTGGAACCCACATGGGCACAGAAATAAAGGAAGACCAAAAAACAGATGTAGAAGTGAGCTAGAGAGCGAAGTTAAAAAGATGGAAAGGACATCAAGAGAGATGCATGTGATAGTGATTGACTTGGCATGAGTTTGTTGAGGACCTATGCTCCATAGAGAGTTAGTGAGGCCAAAAAAGAAGAAGAAGAAGAAGAAGAAGAAGAAGAAGAAGAAGAAGAAGAAGAAGAAGAAGAAGAAGAAGAAGAAGAAGCACTCATAACTGAATTAAGTTCTAGGTGACATTGTGCTTTAGCAATAATTTTGCATATGTGGTTGCCAGTTTGTTGTGACAAACTGCAATTCTGGTGACAAACAGTTGGTGTTGGCACCTCTAGCCATGATCTTATGCATTTACTGTGTGTGCATGCGGTTAGATTGTGCTGGGTCTAACTGTCTGTTAACTAGTTTCAAAATACAGCAGTGTGGGGCATTTTGTGTGATTTTCATTGGCACAGGAACAGGAGTATTCATGGGGTGATCCATTTGCATTTAATCTGAAACCTTGACTATCGACTATTAGCATTCTAGACAGTGCATTGAAGTTTGTAGCCAATAACTTTTGTCAAACCATTTATTTCTCTCATGCTGTCCTGATCATCATCATTATTATCATGCATTTTGTCAGTAAGTGTGAGTGCATTTGGTTCACCAATCCTGTGGTAATCCCATAACCAACATTAGGTATATGTGTTCCTGTCAAAATTATATCATGTGGTCAATCCATCCAGATATTTGCCTTTTAGTCTCCTCACACACACATATACAGACAGAGGGACAGAGTGTGACAGTGGCAGAAAACTTTGCATACTTTCAGAATTAAAATATCGGGGGGGGGGGGGGGGGGGGGGGGGGGGGGGGGGGGATTACATTGCTAAAAAAATACTCACAGAAAATAAAATATCTGAACGGTGCACTGTGAATGAAATTCTGTTGAGGTTCCGCTTCTGTTCATCGTTCATCGAATTAATTAATGCTACCACTGGAATCTTTAAGCTGGTTGTGTTGGCAAGCTGAGGGTTATCTCCCATTGAGACATCAACAGTAACCTGTAAAAAAAAAAAAAAATTACACTATTCCTTGCTCTTAGGGTTACTGCAAATAAGTGCTACACCTCTATTTTATAGAGCCATTGAAACTCAGTGGGTGTTGTGGTCAATATTATGCTGACCACCGTTTTTTCTCAGGACTTTACACTGTACCTATTTTAGGCTGGGTCAACCTGGAAGCAGGGTAATTATTGAAAAAATCCTGCCCTATGTAGATTTGAACCTATGAAAATGGAACTACAGGTTAATATTTAGCTGCTACACCACAGAGGCTTATTATACCGTTTAATGACTCTTCTCTGATAAGAGCTTCTACCCATTTGATTTTATTACTGTTTCCCTTTTTTATACATACCATAAAAAGATATTGAACAAGACGAGAATTAGAACTAGCCAGCTTTACATTATCACAATCAGGAACAAATAATGAATGTTGCAGCTAGAAAACCTTCATTAGCATATGATGCAAATGGACAATGACACCAATAAGAACAATAATGCACAAAAGTCACTATCTGTAAGCTAAAGTCTCTTACATCATAGCTGGTAAGTTTTTATGGTTTTATATAATGTTTTATGGGAAGAAGAGAGGGAGAAGGATAAGGAGTACGCACATTATTCTCATTTCCTGTGTCTGGTGAAGTGACCAGAGTTATGTCCCTTCTTTCAGTGACATCCAGCTTCAGGGCAGCTACAGCCAGATTTGGGGTAGATATATCCAGTTTTCCATCAGTCAAGGGTGCTTTGTTGGCAACAGAATCAATCACTTTGAGAAGTCTAGGGATAGAGTAAAATGTAAAAAACACAAATTATAGGTAGTTCAGATGAAGTGATTGAAGGAAATGTGGAAGTGAAGGAAGGAACAATCTTGAGAACTATGAAAGCATAAATTGGAATAGATGAAGTGACTGAGGAAAGTGAAGAAGTAAAGAAAGAAACAGTGAAAAAGATTAAGAGAATTACATTTAAAAAAAAAGTGAATGAATTGGACAGCATAATACAATGAGATAAGAAGGCCAGTTTCCTTTAACCACTTAGTTTAATTTAGAAAATGTATTATTCTGTTATGACTTGACGGGATAGGAAGAAAATATAGATAAATAGAAAAAAAATACAAAGTGCTTACTAGTTGATACAATTATGGGTCTGGCACGATATGCGCCAGTCAACTTCTCATGTACATGGTGTCTCTCGTGTGCTGCATCCAACACATAATGTTCATATATGGTAACAAACCATACAAAATACCAATATTTCCAATCTTGGTTCTGGGATTCCATTTTGGGATGCAAATAATAGAACTCCCCCAACCCTTTTTTTCTCTGCCAACAAAGCATGTCATAAAACCTGACTAATTAAGACTTTCAATCCTTTCAAGTGTGAACACTAGAAACAGATTTAACATTATCACAAGCAGATGTCCACCAGTGAGCCAGTTTGGCTTTTCGGTTGTAACCTGACACAACAGTTTCCTACCTGGTAGACACTTGTCTTTCTGTCTCTGACTGCTGCAGAGTTTTACCATCCACATTAATCAGATTACTGATGCAGTCAATCACATTAGTGGCCACACCTGGCTCCTGAAGGATTTCTTCTTTGGTGAGAGTCTCCAGAAGTGACACTGATTTGTGCACCATCTCTGCAGTGAGATTGCCAGAACTGTTTGTAATCATCCTCAGATAGTCTGATGCAACCTTTGCATTACCTGAAATGTTCATGTTGAATATTTATTGCAGAATTTTATTAAATTTTCTAATTGTATTATATTTTATCAGATCTCAGTGTTACCACAGACATCTACCAATCTGACATTGTTTAAATTTATCCTAGTCAAAATCAGAGATTCACTTATAGTATTTATAATTCTGTTGCCTATGTGTTACCACAAACACGTGCATCAGTCAGCATGTCCTTTACAGAATGTGCCCTCATCACAGTCCGCTTGAAGATCTGTCTTTCTCCAGCGCAGTGTGCTTTCATAGCCAACGCATCTTCAGTGTCTTGTATCCTCATTTGCCGAGGTCTGTCTCTGCCTCATTGTCATGATACTGAACCCTCACTCACTGTTCTCTCAAGGCCACCATGATGCTTTATATGGTGAAAATACCTCATTTTTTTGGGGGGGGGGGGGGGGGGACAGGATGCTGTTTATGAGCAAATTCTCCTCGATGCTCAGATCATGTAGAATGTAAGTGCTTTTCTTCTTCTTGGTCCATGGTATTCTAAGAATCTTTCTGTAGCATATTTTTTTTCTATGTCCTTCATCATCTGCTAAAGTCAAAGTGTCAGTCTCGCAACACCAAGAACAAAATATATAAAATTTTGATAAGACCAGTCATTTTATATGGCTCTGAAACTTAGAGCACAACTAAAAGAGTTGAAGCCAATAAGGCTTTCGAAAACAGAGTCTTATGATGAATCTTTGGACCCATCAAAGATGTAAACAGCAGGGAATGGAGAGTGAGAAGCAACAACAAAATTTATAATATGTTTAAATCACCTTTGATCACTGGCATCATGAAAGCTAATAGACTGAAATGGTTAGAGCATATTGAAAGAATGTCAGATGACAGAGAAGTAAGAACTGTATACACAAGGGAGATAAATGGTCAGAGCCCATGAGGCAGACCAAGAAGACGATGGAGAGATAATGTCCAGACAGACCTGTAAACACTTGGTGTCACCAACTGGAAAGAGAAGGCCAACCAGAGAGATGAATGGAGGCGAGTGATATCTGTAGCAATGAACCTCAAGGGCTCAAAATGCTGAAAAAGAAAAATAACTGTTTTTTATTGACTACGAGTTCATGACTCACATCCATAAGCTGCAATGGGAAAGATGCATTATGTTATCAAAGTTCAAGGGCTCTATTTGTGGCGAGGCAGAAAGGGGAAAGGTGGAAAAGGGGGGGGGGGGTGAAAAGGGGAAAGTGGGGAGGGGGGCAGACTCCACTGTCTCCTAACAAATATGTTGTAAAGGGTGACTAATTAGCAGTTTCCTGAAACTGGATTTCATGGGCCGAAACAGCAAATATACAGCCTAGCTGTAAACTCCAACTCAATGAGCCAGCCACCAAATGTAAGAGTGAATACTGACAATAATGATGACTGATTTAAGAATTGACACAACAGCATACAGGGAATAACTATAAATGTTTCCTCTTCTGCAGTTATTGTCATTTCCTACTGTCTTTCCGAGTGTCTTTCATGCTGCTTGTCCTACTGTTCCCCCCCCCCCCCCCAACCCAACAATCTGTTCTTCTATCTACCTTTCTTGTCTTAATGTTTGTCTGAGGGTCTTAATACCTGTTTGTAAATTGTTTGTCCTACTGTATGACTTAGTGTCCTCTTGTACATCTTTGTCCTTTTTTTACTGTCTTTCTAGTTGTCCTTTATATTTTTCTTTTTCTTCACATTCATCAGCTGTAAACTCTGGCAGAAAGTTCTGGTTCCACTTCTGGACTGCAGTCCTGTTCTAGAACCTGAATGTTGTGCATGCATCCGTTTTACAGATCTGACTCATTTGTATGCAGACTGCTGGTTCCTTGCCTCTCAGGTAGATGCACTCTGACTTCGAAGAAAGCTCCAAATTAGTCGACTCTTACTATATGCTTTTGGGTAGACGTCGTCTCTGTATCTAAATCAATGCAAACGCTTCGTAATGCCAGTGTGCATTGGTTTAAACAGTGGTATCAAGAAAGCCGACCGTCCAGTAAGCAATGGCAAACTACTGGTTGTAAATTTGCCTAGAGAAACCACACAACAGCCAGAGGTTGCTGGGGTTGGTTCTGCAATGTCCTGTAAAGGATACGCAACTAACCTTTTAAGGTAGGCAGTGGGTCTATTCTTGTTTTCCCTATAATAGGGCCCCGGAACCCACACAGGGATCCTTTATATTGTCTTCCTTGTTGTCAGTGCTGCTATGTTCCTGTTTGTCCTATTGTCTGCCTTTGTTGCCTTAGTGTTCTTAGGGTCTCTCTTACTGTCTTACTGTTTGTCATCTGTTCCACTATCTGACTTACTGGCCTCTTGTACATCGATCTTATAATACTGTCTTTCTAGATGTTTTTCTTATTGTCTTCCTTGATGTCTGTACTAGTGTCTATTTTACTTTCTGTCCCTCTGTCTGGATCTATTCTCTGTCCTCCAAAACCCACACGGGGAGCTAAAGGCCTTTTTTATAGGCCAGTCAGCACTCAGTTGATGATGTGGTTAACTTCCCGCCAGCCACCTTTACTTTCCAGGACATTACCTGGTACCTAATTTAGACCTGGAGGCCAAGGTCAGTTTTGAAGAAAATAAATCTGCAGATTTTTTTCATTCTATGCAGTCAGTGCAAGGGAAATAAAAATTGAAGCACAAACAAAACTTGAGCACACAAGATAGAGGTTTCCTACCTTTGGTTATATTCCTTTCAAAGACTTCCAGAATGTTTGGTTTATTTGCTGCTTCCTTAGTGAGACACAGTGAAGCATTTACTTCACCCCAAACAGGCCGTTCGTTGGCACCAAGAGAACTGAAATTTCACGAGACAGAAATTATAAGGAAAGTGAAAAAAGATTGTAGTATAAGACAAACTATAAGAATACTTAGCTTTTCAGATGACATTGATATAGTTAAAGAAAATGAACTAGAGACAGTGTAAACACTAACTCACTTAACGGAAGCAGTTAAAAAAAAAGTTATTGGTAAAGATAAGACATAATACATGGTAATAACAAGATAGAGAAGGAATAAAAATTCTTGTCACTTACAAATAGATCGTATGAAAATCACACAAAATGAAACATTCAAGCATTTGGGTACAAACTTAAGCTGCTTCAATATACTAAGAAAAAAAATATAATTAATAATACAATCCAGAAAGATCCAGTTGTCTTATATGGATCTAAAACCTGGAGCACAACCAAAAAGACTAATAGATGGAAATGGATGGCCCATATACTGAGAATGACATGACAGAGAGGGAAGAACTGTGCACACAAGAGAGTTGAATGGTCATGAACCAGAAAGCAGACCAAGAAGATTGTGGAGAGATAATATGCAAGCAGACCTTCTAGCACTTGAAGTCACCAACTGGAAAGAGAAGGCAAATTACAGAAATGCATGGATATCTGCAGCAATAAACTCAAGAGACTTTGCAATACTAAAGAAGAAGAAAATCTTAAGATAATAGTGTTTTCAAAGTTTATTATTTCATGCATAAAGATGATGGTGATCTCTGCAATTTATTATTTCCTACATGGAGATTGTGGTGATATCTGCAAGTTATATTTTTATATGTAAAAACGATGGTGATCACTGCAATTTATATTTCATGTGTACAAATAATGCTGATCCCTGCAATTTATTATTTCTTATGTAAAGATGATGGTGATTGCTGCAATTTTTTTTCTTTAAATGTAAATATGATGCTGATCTCTGCAATTTATTATTTCATGTGTACAGATAATGCTGATCTCTGCAGTTTATCATTTCATGTGTGCAGATAATGCTGATCTCTGAGTTTATCATTTCATGTGTACAGATAATGCTGATCTCTGCAGTTTATCATTTCATGTGTGCAGATAATGCTGATCTCTGCAGTTTATTATTTCATGTGTGCAGATAATGCTGATCTCTGAGTTTATCATTTCATGTGTGCAGATAATGCTGATCTCTGAGTTTATCATTTCATGTGTACAGATAATGCTGATCTCTGCAGTTTATAATTTCATGTGTGCAGATAATGCTGATCTCTGAGTTTATCATTTCATGTGTACAGATAATGCTGATCTCTGCAGTTTATCATTTCATGTGTGCAGATAATGCTGATCTCTGAGTTTATCATTTCATGTGTGCAGATAATGCTGATCTCTGAGTTTATCATTTCATGTGTACAGATAATGCTGATCTCTGCAGTTTATAATTTCATGTGTGCAGATAATGCTGATCTCTGAGTTTTATCATTTCATGTGTACAGATAATGCTGATCTCTGCAGTTTATCATTTCATGTGTGCAGATAATGCTGATCTCTGAGTTTATCATTTCATGTGTGCAGATAATGCTGATCTCTGAGTTTATCATTTCATGTGTACAGATAATGCTGATCTCTGCAGTTTATCATTTCATGTGTGCAGATAATGCTGATCTCTGCAGTTTATTATTTCATGTGTGCAGATAATGCTGATCTCTGAGTTTATCCTTTCATGTGTGCAGATAATGCTGATCTCTGAGTTTATCATTTCATGTGTACAGATAATGCTGATCTCTGCAGTTTATAATTTCATGTGTGCAGATAATGCTGATCTCTGAGTTTATCATTTCATGTGTACAGATAATGCTGATCTCTGCAGTTTATCATTTCATGTGTGCAGATAATGCTGATCTCTGAGTTTATCATTTCATGTGTGCAGATAATGCTGATCTCTGAGTTTATCATTTCATGTGTACAGATAATGCTGATCTCTGCAGTTTATAATTTCATGTGTGCAGATAATGCTGATCTCTGAGTTTATCATTTCATGTGTACAGATAATGCTGATCTCTGCAGTTTATCATTTCATGTGTGCAGATAATGCTGATCTCTGAGTTTATCATTTCATGTGTACAGATAATGCTGATCTCTGCAGTTTATCATTTCATGTGTACAGATGATGGTGATCTCTGCAGTTTATTATTTCATGTGTACAGAAAATGCTGATCTCTGCAGTTTATCATTTCATGTGTGCAGATAATGCTGATCTCTGAGTTTATCATTTCATGTGTGCAGATAATGCTGATCTCTGCAGTTTATCATTTCATGTGTGCAGATAATGCTGATCTCTGAGTTTATCATTTCATGTGTACAGATAATGCTGATCTCTGAGTTTATCATTTCATGTGTACAGATAATGCTGATCTCTGAGTTTATCATTTCATGTGTGCAGATAATGCTGATCTCTGAGTTTATCATTTCATGTGTACAGATAATGCTGATCTCTGCAGTTTATCATTTCATGTGTGCAGATAATGCTGATCTCTGAGTTTATCATTTCATGTGTACAGATAATGCTGATCTCTGAGTTTATCATTTCATGTGTGCAGATAATGCTGATCTCTGAGTTTATCATTTCATGTGTGCAGATAATGCTGATCTCTGAGTTTATCATTTCATGTGTACAGATAATGCTGATCTCTGAGTTTATCATTTCATGTGTGCAGATAATGCTGATCTCTGAGTTTATTATTTCACGTGTACAGATAATGCTGATCTCTGCAGTTTATCATTTCATGTGTGCAGATAATGCTGATCTCTGAGTTTATCATTTCATGTGTACAGATAATGCTGATCTCTGAGTTTATCATTTCATGTGTGCAGATAATGCTGATCTCTGAGTTTATCATTTCATGTGTGCAGATAATGCTGATCTCTGAGTTTATCATTTCATGTGTGCAGATAATGCTGATCTCTGCAGTTTATTATTTCATGTGTACAGATGATGGTGATCTCTGCAGTTTATTATTTCATGTGTAAAGATAATGCTAATCTCTGCAAATTATAATTTTATTTGTAAAGATGATGGTGGTCTCTGCAATTTATTATTTTATTTGTAAAGATAATGCTGATTTCTGCAATTTATTATTTCATGTGTACAGATGATGGCGATCGAGTTCATCATGAAAACTTGTCTGCTGATGTAACCAAATAAAGAGATATGATTGGGAAAAAAAAATTTAAAAAAAAAAAAAAATTGAAGCAAACATATTGCATTTAATTCATAAGAAAACTCAAGATTTTTTTAATTTAAAAGACAGGCTGGTCAGGAAATATGATGATAATGATGATGATGATGATGTTAATAATAAATGATGTAATCCCTTTCAAATCATTATGTATGGCCAGACTAATAATTAATAAAGAGTGAAACGTTCTAAAAGCACTTACACAACCAAATAAACAAGCAATGAAATTTCTAGCATTATCTGGCATACTGGTTCTAAACAAGGTAATGCTAACAAGCTCTTACCAATTTCTGGAGGCCACTGGCATAGGGTGATCAAGTGGATTGTTATAAGGACATGGCCAATAATGTATGCCTACATCGGCCTCACTCCACTTGATGCCTCCTTTGTCCAATGATGTCACAGAGTATGGGCACTTATGGGAATCTGCTTAGAAATAAAAACGGCAAGGATCAGTTTTAAAGGAAACATCAGACATACCAGCAATCTCTCTGGGCTGGAGCTGCAAGAAAAATACCTAGTCTATGAATTTAACATGACCAATCTTGACCTAGACTCAACCTGACCATGAATGTTAGGCTCAGTCTCCCAAAGGATTTATTCAGCAACCAATCTGACATCCACTTTTGGAGTTAGTCTCATCATTATATCTTTTTTTTTCCATTCACTGGCTGTAAGCTCTAGTGTAAATTTCTGGGTGTTCATCTACCTTCTGACTTTAGTCTTGTACCAGAACCTGAGTGTTGCATGCACATCTGGCTTATTTGTATGCACTCTTGTTCCTTTACTTTCAAACAAATGTATTCCAACTTCAAAGGATCCCAATTAGTCAACTCCTATGACATACTTGTTGGGGAGGCAATTTGTGCAATTTTGTTTTCCCACAATGAGACCCCAGAACCACACGGGGAAGTCCCATTACAAATCAAAAGGACCTTTTTCACACTGTGATACATTCGGCATATGATGCTAGACTCATTTTCTATAAACCTATCAGCCCTCAATGGGTGATGTGGCCAAAATCATTCCAATAACCTTTACTTCCATGATTACATTATGTTTTAACCATGTCAGGTTGAATTAGCCGCAGATTAAAGGTTAATTTTGAAGAAAAAAATCAGCGACGGTGCAGATTCAACCCCAAGAGCCAGGGCTGGCAAGCAAGCATCTAGCTACTTTACTACCATGGCTTCCTCTTTGCAAGTATTGTTGGCAATGAAAGAGCTGTTAGACTAGCAGATTCTGCATTAGTTGCAGATGACCGACCTATGGATCAGACAGAGATTGTCAATGCCCTTAGAGAGACAGGATGTTCCAAGGATTTTGGATGCATCATATCCACATCACTGCTAAGAATATTAGAATTGGGATTAAAGACAGCACAGCCAAGTATGAAAGGCACACCAGACACACAACAAGATTTGTCAACCAGCATAGGACTGGCATTATTAACGGTGTGACACTGATGAATATGTTACAGAGGGAATCTCAGCACTTTTGGATGAGCCCAGAGTGCTGTGAACATAATCCAAAACATAACTCATGCACTCTAGAAAAATCAGTTTAGTGGATTTTTCTGGAAACTACACCCAACTGGTAGTGCCAGTTTTGCAGCTTCTCTGGGTAGCAGAGTTAAAATGTACAGAATCAATTTATTCTGCTCATTGTCCTTTCACTGGTGCAAGCACCCTTAACAAATTCATGCCAAACTGGCCTAATTTTTTTTTTGCCATCTCCTACAACCATCCCCCCTCCCCACTCCATCTTATTCATCTACTTCTACAGTTGTCTTCCTATGTTTTTGTGTGTGTGTGTGTGTCTGTGTGTGTGTCTTCTTATTCTTCTATTTCTTTTACCTAATGGGTTCTAAAGAAAATACTTTCTTGTTATTCTGTAAAATGTAAGCACAATTTAAGTAACATTTAGGTTCAAAAGCTAGCTTTTGGGATTAGGAAATAAGGATTCACTTTGGTATTTTACTAAAGGAATGACATCAGTTTATTTATATACAAAAATTTTAATTAGCAAATAAAATAGTGTTCTGGTCAAATACCTATCCTTTTACCCCAGTTATGGGTTCAAGGGCCCATTTTTGAATGTGAATAAAAAATAAACCCGCTGCCTCTAACAAGCATGTCATAAGAGATAACTAATTAAGGGTTTGCTGAAACTGAATGTATTTGCTGAAAGCTGCATAAATTGCTGCCTAGCTATAAGCTACAACATAACATATCATCTGTCATTTTCGGAGTGAATGCAGAGAAAAAAGGAGGAGGAGGAGAAGAAGAAGATAAAACACACAAACTTACCTGTTTCTGTATTTAGTACAACCATATCCAATGTTCTAAAATGCTCCTTGCTGAAAAATCCATCAGGGTCCTGGGTATTGTTCTGTATGATGCTGCTGAGCACTTGTCCAACTGTGTACATGTCAAAAGTGGTCAGTTCTATGAGGACATCTACCTGATACTGTCTTTCACTTACCGGCCTGTAATGACAAGAATGCGATAGAATTAGAATGGTAGAATGAGATGAGGCGAATGAGGTGGAGGAAAAATGTGGAATGAGACGATGAAATGACATATTGGAATGAAGATTTGGAGTGAGGTGGTGGAAACACATGGTAGAATGAAATAATGGAATGATATTGTAGAATGAGCTGGTGGGGTGAGATGGGGGAATGATATAGTGGTATGAGATTATAGAATTGAATGGTGAAATTTGATGGCAGAGATTGGGGAATGAGATGGTTAAATGACATTATAGAATGAGAACGATCAAAGGTGTTGCTCCTCTATGTTGGGAGTGAGAAGGTGTCTATCAAAATTAGAAAAAATATTTATGCGGTCTCTCCTGTGGAGTGCTGCTTCCTCTGTGTTATAGTTGGTCAACTAGCTCGTGGTGATGTTTCTCACATAAGCGATGATACACACAGATGGTGATGAGGAAACACAGTTTCATTTAGTTTATTAATGTTCTGAAGATAACATCGTCTAGTCACTGATCTAGTCTTCTGATCTCTTGCATGTACAGAGATTCAATGGGTCAGTGTTATGATATATTTCTAAGATGTTCACAATTGTTATCACTCATTACCAGGCATTCCTGGCCAATCAATGCACAGGCAAAGATTTTGCACCTCCAGCACTCTGCTGCCAATCTTTTCAGTCAAGCTGGGTGTCACTTGAATAACTTCTGGTCAGGCATTCAATCTGAGGAATCACTTCTTCCCATGTCATCAGATACAATTCACAGCAGTCAGACCTTCTTCATGTGTCATCAGGTACACTTCACAGCAGTCACATGCCTCTTGAAATGAACCAGACACTCAGGCGCCAAACACCAACTAAACTGATCTTGGTTTCAACTTTCAAACCTCTCTTTGGTATCCCCGCGCTGTTAAACCCATGATTTTGCTAGAGGTTTTCTTTCTTCCCTTGACTTACCCTTGACCCTACTTACTCATCTGGGAGCCTCATTACACCTGGCAACTAGGTTAGAACCTGGTGACAGTTATATACCTAAACTTCCTGTGTAAGCTCTTTCTCCCTTGTTCTCAGTCTCTCTCTCTCTCTCTCTCTCTCTCTCTCTCTCTCTCTCTCTCTCTCTCTCTCTCTCTCTCCTTTCTCTCTCTCTCTCTCTCTCTCTCTCTCTCTTCTCTCTCTCTTTTCTTTCTCTCTCTCTCTCTCTCTTCTCTCTCTCTTTTCTTTCTCTGTGTTGGGCTTAAAAGTACAGATATTGGAGACTAGCTGTAAACCATAACATTACAGGCCAGATGCCCTTTAATGGGTTAACACCAAAGAGAATGAAGAAGAAAAAATATGTGTGTGGAAAAACACATAAGTACACATGTGCACATCAGTTCTCGTTATGCCTAGTGGCACATGAGGCTTCAGAGAGGACTTTCCATGCTTTCCTGTCCTATGCAATCTTCAGTGCAGTTTTCCATGTCAAAGATGCCGCACTCAGGTCACTTTCCATCATTCGTCTTCATGTTGTTTTTGAGCGCCCCTGTTTTCTTTTTCCTCTCTGGTGTCCATGTGAGAGCCGTTTTGGCAGGTATATCAGAAATCATTCTCATAACGTGGCCAAGCCATTTCCATCTTCTCTTGGTAATCATACTGTTTAAAGTTTCTTGGTTTGTGGCTTGAAATAGTTTAGTGTTTGAGATTATATCTGGCCAGAAAATTTTGATAATTCTACGTAGACATGTGTGGTGGAAGGTGGACAGCTTGTGTGCATCCTTTTTGGTCATTCTCCAGCATTCCGCTCCATAAAGAAGAACTGGCAAAATGATGCTCTTGTAGAGTCGGAGTTTTGTTCCTCTGCAGTAATTGTTGGATTTCCAGATTTGCCTCATCCTTCCAAAAGCAGCTCTAGCTTTGTTCAGACGTGACTGTATGTCTTCCTCTGTCCCTCCCAGTATGGACACCACACTGCCAAGATATGTGAAATGATCTACATTTTCAAGTGATTGGTTACTTATGGTCAATGGTTGTTGGTTTGGACTGTTTGTCATGATCTTAGTTTTCTTTGTATTTTTTCTCAGTCCCACCATTTCTGCTGCGCAGTTTAGTCTGTTACTTTTCTCTTGTATATGTTCATGTTTATGTGATAGGAGTGCTATATCATCTGCAAAATCAAGGTCCTCAAGCATGGTGAATGGAATCCATCATATGCCTCTTAATGTCCTGTCTACTGTGTTCTTTAGTATCCAATCAATCACAAGGTTGAAGAGGAGAGATGACATAACACATCCCTGTCTTACACCCGTCTTTACTGGGAAAGATGTATTGTAATTTTTTATGCTGCAGGAAAAGTCTTTATAGAAGAGAGCAATTATGTTGACTATTTTTTCTGGAATTCCATAATGTCGTAAAATTTTCCACAGACCGTCGCTATGGACGCTGTCAGAAGCTTTCTCAAAGTCCACAAAATTAATATATATATACTTCTCTGCCATTCGTTGCATTGTTCTACGTTGCACATGCAGATACTTAATGGTAGTGCCATACGTACATATGGATAACTGATAAAACTGTCTGTACATGTGAAGAACCGACAATTTTACACATGTATGTAATGAAAAATTATTCTTTAAACACAAATCTGATGGATGCTGAGACAGACAGATCTTGACTTACATAAACTGAATCAGCCGAGCATAAACTACATCCACAACCTTGACCAGAACAGCTGTGATCTAAAAATAAAAGGGTACAAACTTGTGACCTTCATCATTCATCATCAATCAGCAAGTCATTTACAGAATATTGCTCTCCTCATGGACGCCTAAAAGTATCCCTTTCCCTAGCCAGCTCTCCAGCCCCACGTGCAAAACTTAACATGTTAAAAAAAATCTTAAAATGTAAAAAAAAAAATCTCTACCTGTGTCTAATATCTTGAATTTGTCTCATTTTATATTTTGTCGTTGTTACACTGATACATAAATTTTGATGTATTACATGTCACTATACAGCCAAACCTTTTTCTTCATGAAGGTTTTAGCTTTGTCATGTTGCAGTACAAAAATCCAGCTCAAAATTAATGATATTCAAACCCCAGACAAATTTCACCCTGAAAGGGTTACTAAATTATATGACTAGGAAGGTTTTAGCTTTATCATGTTGCAGTACAAAAATCCAGCTCAAAATTAATGCTAACCAAACCCCAGAAGAAATATCACCCTGAAAAGGTTACTAAACTTATGATTGGTTTCATGTCTAGTTTTTTTTTTGGGGGGGGGGGGGGGGGGGGGGGGGGGGGGGGGGGGGGGGGGGGGGGGGGGGGGTCTAATTTCTTCTTCATTTTAAATTGCATCTCTTCCTGTTACTCTGGCAGCTCTTGTAAGACATTTCATCTCTGTTGTTATGAATTTGTACTCATTAGTTTTAATAAGTTTGACACTGGTCTGAGTATGATGGCACATTCAGGAGCAGCCAGGGGATCTGGCCATCGCTCAACTCTCAAGGGAAAGGCAAGATTCATATACAATCAGACAGTTACTGGTGGCATCGGAATTGGAACTCTTCGCTTGCTGATGAAGATGGGGACGGAGTGCTTATGGGAGTGTCCCAAGTGCTGTGATGTTGATTTTAAATTCAACCTTCAATATTCTGGTAGCATAAATTTGGCCAGAAAATAAATCTTATTCGATTTTCCTAGGTATACAAATGTTTAATTTTATATATGAGTGGGTAAAAATGTCCCTCAAAAGACTCATTAGGGAAATGAGCATCATCATTCTTTGTTTCTCTCTGAATCCTCCTAAAACATGGGTGGTACTTTCATTATATCTATGTGATTAAAATTGGTTTCAGAAAACGTTTCATAAAAAATCTTACACCAGAAATGATTCGCTTCGCCTCTTTCTGATATTCTTGACTGCTGGAATTTGACATAAAGGGCAGGAACTCTGCATCCTGTTTTATGTAACTTATGGTAACAGTCACATTTTTTAGCTCTTCTGCAAAATTAAAATGAAAAGTAAATAACACACACAAATGCATAAAAAAGAGAAGTCAGTGCAGTTATAAATACTGTTATTTGGTTAAAAACTGGTTGGTTTCATATAAACTGTTGTTGTGACTTTTCTCTTTTCTAATGTCAGTGTTTGATCATACTATGCAGGAAGGTGTGGTAATCAAATCATGTCAGTGTCTTTACTTGCACAAAACTACAGGTTAAACTTGGCTGATGAAGCCATCATGTTTGTCCAAGTGATAAATTCTTTGGAGGTTGATTAGGGGTACCTGGGATCTGTGTTGTTGGTCTGTCGTTTAGACTAAGACTATTTTTTTAATATCGCAGGAAGGTATGGTAAACCTTTAGGTAGTCAAACGGAGGGGACAAATCAGTGGATTAATCACAGCCCATCGTGATGGCAAGTGTGACTAGCATGCGCAGCCAGCTTGCCTAAATAGAAATCAACAATAAATGCATGAGATTCCAGGACGATTGCTGTCATCACATGTAGCTGACATGTTTCTTCTCAGATGTTCAGCTCTTGAATATGGTACAAAGCCATACAGCATGCTCCCTCTCTACATGTGCATTGTTAAATCCAAAGAAGAGGTAACATGTTTGGAACAAAGTATGCTGCAGAAGCCCCTCTGATCAGAAGAGCAATGATCATACATACATTATTCTACAGAATAATGATGTGGGATGACAATTTTCTTCTCACCACCTTTCAAGCAACTTCCAGAACATTCTCACTTTTTTTACTGAAATTAATTGAATAGAGAAGGGTTGTGGTATTTCATCCCCATTAGGAATTGCAGCCTAAAAGATAGACACCATGAGTGACTCAAGAGCCACTATTTAGATGGGATTCCACCTGCAACAATCCGTTCAGCCACATATTTAAATAAGGGAACCAGACTGTTACCAAGGGTTAAATGTGAGCGAGGGAGCATGAATACAGTATATGGAACTGAGGGTATCCAAGACAAAAGAGCCAAATTACAGTCTGTTCATATAAATAATTACATGATACACAAATTTAAAATAAATATATACTCTGAGAACTCAGTCAAGTAGTAGTAGTAGATTTTACACAGCTAGGACATCACACAAGTGATAAACACCCGATGACACAAAGTGCCACTATGCGGATGAGGATCACCTGTGGAGAGGTCCCGGAAAGCACGTTCAGCCATTAGGACACATATATCGCCGGGCTATATTGTGGCCTCTGGCAAGAGCCAGGGTGGGGCTTCAAATTAAAGAAAAATTGCATCCCACAAGGAGAGGATTAGTTAACAGTATAGATCCCAATCATAACCCATGGAGCTGAACAGGCTATTTTTGAAAAATTACTACTACTACAGAAGAGCCAGATGACTGCAAGTATTAATTTGGAAAAACTACAAAACAGAGAGGCCTGGAGGAATTAACAGTGTACCCTATGTAACATAAAACTGGCACATCAAAACGATGAACGGGACAAATATGTAGATTACATTTTTCAAATTTAAAAACAAAAATTAATTATTTCCCTTACTTGTCCGGACGCTGAGCACTTGTGAGGCAACAGTTAGTTCCCTGTAGAGAGCGTCTGCTGGCAGAATAGAAGTAACGCTAAAGTCGTATGGTGTTCCAGGATACAGACCAGTCCATTTACCTCCATGTGCACTAACAGAACCAGGCACCTCATATCCTATGTGTGGTTGTATTTCAATTCTGTATGTAACATTTCGTCCATGTTTATCTGCTGTCCAGCTCAAGGTTACAGTGTCATGCGTAATAGATGAGGCATTCAAGTTTTTCACTTGCAGTTTATTCACTACAGAATGGAGACAAAACAGAATCGAATCAACAAAGAATAATAAGAGTTTACAGCAGTCAATTTGATAATAAGTAAACACCACTGGCTCATTGGACATATGATGTAAGACTCATATTTGTTATAGATCAATTAGCATTTGCTGAGTAAAGATGAACAAGTCACTGGACACCTTAACTTGCCAGGCAATAAACTGTACAATATATTGATTGTGTCCCAGTTTTAAAAATAATATAACACCACAATGAGTAGAAAGCCTTGTTTATGAATTTAAAATAATAATAATACAGGATGTTGTGATGACAAGCAATAAAATCAGCAATTTACAATCCCCCCCCCCCCCCCCCCCCTTTTCCCCCCAAAAAATAAAGACCAAAATTACACTAAAATAACTACAAAAAGAGTTCTTTGTCTTCTTCACTTCCTCTTTTTGCCACTTTGTGCTGTTGTTTGTACTTGATAACACAGTCAGGTTTGAAACCTGCAGTTTTGTCACTGATTAAAAGTTAAAGCTCTTTGTTGAATTACCCCTCCCCCCCGAATTTATGACATTCTCATTAGGGACAGTGGGTCTATTCTTTTGCCCCTAAAATTGAGCTCCAGAATAAATACAGGGAGACAAGAATTCCTAAGAGCTACAAAAAGCCAATCCTAATATATACAGGTCATGGACAGCGACTTGATAAGTTGAAACAAAAAAATGTGGTTTGATAGACTAATGATGAGAACACCTTCATATATATAGCACATATCATGGCTATCACCTGGTAAGAAAAGTAAAGATCCCTTGTCACGCCTTTAGGCGCATCTGATGAGTAATGTGGTCAGCATTAAGCTGGCCATCTCTACTTCCCCAGGACAGCCATCTTGGTAGCCATTTTAGACTGGGTCGACCTGCAACACCCCAAACCATGATAAAAATCCACGCAGCCAGCAGTGGGTTTTGATCATGGTACGTTGGAATTACGAATCAGACTCTCAACACCTAAGCCACGGACGCCACTGCATATCACCTGAAGCCGCCCCAAAACCTGAAAGACAGAACAGGACAAGAGAAGAAGAAGAAAAGAACATTGTGGACAGATGAAAAGAGTAATGAAGATGTAATAAGACAGAAAATAATGAAATAGGAAGAAAGAAGAGAGGAAAAAGCATTGAGACAATAAATAATGTTTACTCACCAGGCAAACAGGCTTTAGATGAGGTAAAATAAAAAGAAGTATTGCTACACAGACACAGTCTCCTGCCATCCAACGCCTGCAGGCAACTGAGATCAGTAGCACATGTGTCAGTGCTGCATGCCATGCCATGGACAGATTCTGTGGCATTACAAGGAAAAATTAATTAACATCAAAGTATTTTTCAACTCTGAGAGCAGGATTAGTGTAGTGGCTAAGTACTATTCCTACTAGTACTATCAGCTTTGGAACGCTTTGCTGGCTGGCTGGTGAAGATGGGGACAAAGTGCTGTGATATCAGTTCCTAACTGATCTCAGCTCAGCTTAGCTCAACTCAGTGGCTAACAAACAGGCCTGCTGAATAAAGGTCATCATCATGATGTAGGAAGTCCTTCGCAAAATGTCACTCTCTTCACAGCCTGCCTGAAAGAAATTGTCTCTCACCAGATCTCCCGCCTCATGCACCCTCCTACCCAAGGTATCACTTATGTGCCCATCTTCAAGCTGGTCAGCTCCTGCCCCTCTTTCCCGGGACCATGCCTTCTGCTACTATTTTTTCTAATTCAGTGTGGTGCTTGATATGGACACTTTTTTTTTACTTTCTGAGATAAGATGCCATTTACTAGCTGAACTTCTTTGATGTTTAGATCTTTTAGCATGTCAGTTATTTCTTTTCTTCCTGGTCCATGGTAATTTTTGGCAAGCAGTATATGTGTTCAAAACCCTCCCCCTTTCTGGTGGGTACCAGATTTCGTACCATATTGTTATCATATTTGTATCATTGTTGTAGAGAGATTTTTTGGCTCAGAAGTAATGATCTCTTGTCAAGCAATCATCTGTGATATACAAACAAGGATTTTTGTTTCACCTCTAAAAGAAAGAAACCCTAAATCCTGACTTTTGAATAAATTATTTAACTTTTGACAGACAGAAACACCAAGCCTTGTCATGGAACAAGTATTATTTCACCTTTTCTTCTTCTTCAGCATTCTGAGGCCTTGAGGTTAATTGTTGCAGATATCACCCAGCTTCCTTCATGTCCATGATTGGTCAGCTCTTCCCAGTTGGCCACACTAATTGTTTCTATGGCTGCGTGAATTTTATGTCTCCTCTGTCTTCTTGGTCTGCCTCAAGGTCTATTTCCATTCAGTTTTTTTGTGTGTGCAAATTTGGTCTCTCTCTATTATCTGGCATTCCGTCTGAATGCCTCAACCATCTCAATGTATTATTATTTCACCTCAGGCAGAGACAAATCACAAGACTTACCTAGGATCAAACACACATCACACCCTTTGCAAGTTGGATAATCTGACCTTCAGCAACTGATTTCTCTAGTCTGAAAGAACTAAACATAATTTTAAATTACCAAATTACATTTTTATTTTTTAAATTCACTTACTTGTCCAGATAGTGATTACTTCAGAACTAACATTCTTTGCCATGTACAAGTTAGTTGCTGGTAGAGTGGATATAACAGTAAAGTTATACATTGTCCCAGGATCGAGTCCTGTCCATTGAGCCCCATTCACAGTGACAGAGTCTCGTACTACATGACCTTTGTAAGGAGATGATTTTACCACGTAAGTGACATCAGTTCCATGTTTGTCTGCCCTGTACCTCAAGGTCACTGTATCATTGCTTGATGAGGCAGTTAAATTTTCAACTTGGAGTTCATTAACTGTGGACAGAAGTAGTCAAAATTTAATGACTTGAAGAAACTGTCAATATTAATGTTACAGGAAGGAAAAGTTAAATGACGAAAACAAAATTAGCTATGATCATTAAATAAAACTGGCTGAAAGAAATAGTCAAAATTAATTGCTGGGAGAAATGCTAATAAATTAACCAACATAGTTAAAACAGTTAAAATTAACTGTCTTAAGGGACATAGTCATTAGTAATAGACTAAGCAATAGTTAACATTAATTCTTGTGGGAAAAAGTCAATATTAATGTACAGAAAGAAATAGTCAAAAATTAAATGTTGGGAGGGAAATCACTAAAATTAATGTACTGGAAGAAAAAGCTGAAATTAACATATGAAAGAAATAGTGAACTTTAAGGGCCTGGAATGATTTGTCAAAACTACTCTTATTCCCAGTACAGCTAGAATTCAAATTTAAAATACTTAGCTGCAAAAAATGTCAAATTAATACTGCTGTTTGGAGCAGAAATGTGGAGGAAAACTGAAACAATTGATAATAAACTACAAACATTCTTTTACCGGTGCTGGCACAGAATAGGGGGAATTAAATAGTACAGATAGAAAAACTAATGCGAAGCAAAGGGAGAGAGCTAGATAAATTCTTGTGAATCATTAAGTGGGGAAAAGATGCTGCTGTCGGATAGGACAAACTAAGAAAACCTGATAAAAATATAACCAGGATGTTCTTGCATTGGAACTCACAAATGAAAGAAATAAAGTAAAAAAAAAACATGAACATAGGAAAAGGAGAGTGAAGTGAAAAAATATGGGGAGGATATGTGGTCAGCTCTACATGATAGCAAAAGACTAAAAAACTGTTTATGAGTTGGTTGAGGGTTTGTGCTCTATAAGAGATAAAAGACAGACGAAGAAGAAGTAATTTTTATAGATAATATCTTTTTCAGCCCTTAGGGATACATAGTATATATTATAGTTATAGTGTATAGTATATTAATAGTGTATACTTTTGGTATTTTAATATATAAAATAATCATTTTATCTAGTCATTAATGTTTTTTATACTGGTGATATCTGAAAATATAAAAAATGGTATCCCAGGTCACTTTAAATATTTGCAAGGACAGATTACACAATATGTTGTTGTTTGTTTGTCTGCATTCACCAGCCGTAAAACCCGTCCAAAAGACCTGGTTTTTCGTACATTTCTAGACTTTGGCTTTGCTCCAGGACCTGAGTCCTGCATGTGCATCCATGTTATGCTTATTTTATTTGCATGCAGACTGTTGGTCCCTTGCCTCTCAGTCAGCTGCATTCCAACTTTGAAGGAAGCCCCTAATTAGTCAACTCCTATGACATGCTTGTTGTGGAGGCAATGGGTCTATTGTCATTTTTCCCACAATGGAACCCACACAGGAATATGATTATCACAGTTATTTTAAAAGTACATTAAAACATACAAAACATAATATTAACCATTCTTCTACAGTCTGTTTCAGTTAATACATAAATCATGCAACATTTAAAAAAAAGAAAGAAAAAAGTAGCTGACAAGAAGTGGCCAAAGATGCTGAACTGAATTCCATCAGTGATACTGAAGTGATTATACAGGATATAACAAAATTGGGGAATAGACTGTGAACCTTATGTGACACATAATGGTACAACAGAACAGTGAAAACAAAACAAAAGTTGCTATATGTATCCCTAATACATCACTGGTGGATTGACCAGGATATAATTGAATAAACTACCACAACTAGTTTATTTATATAATTCATGTGTATAAACCCACCATCTCTACAGCCACTGCTGGGGCTATTATAGTAGTAGGCTGAAGAACATAGACAACGGTTACCGCCATCTTTGGCAGACACACACTGTATGTTGTTTCCTGTACAAGAGTTCCCACTGGGTGGTGCAGACGGATCACAGGCACTTCCATGAGTAGCTTCTATTAGAATAAGAAACAAAACCACAAACAGCTTGAAATAGTGATTAGTGAATAGAAAGAATTATCATCACAGCACTCCGGACATATCTATAGGTGCTCTATTCTCCTCCTCAAAAGCTCCATAAGTGAAAAACAACTGATGACACCTGTTCTGTGTTGGTTAATGAAACATCTTGTCCCCTTAGTGAAATGTTTATTTCTTGCAGCTCCAGGCTGCACCCCCATGTCCATCAGTCTAGACAGAAATAGAGTCATTTCCTTTGGCGTGCTCCTCGGTAAGTGCAGCTCATGGCATTGAAAACATCACTTCTTTCCAGCACTGGGCCAGCCATAGCAACTGAAGTGTCAACAAGATAGTCTGCACGCTCGTTCCCTTGAACACCCATATAACCTGGCACAAATATGAATGTTAGGGCAGATATTTATGAAGTGCTTAATGTTTCAATCCATTCTTGCCTGATAAATCCAGCTTGGATTTTTAAAGCATATTCATTGAGTCATTAAGAATGCATACGTGTGTGAACTTTTGAGTACCAAACAATGCTAAAGCCCTGGCTACAGCCATAGTTTCCATTGCAAGGCTACTAGTTGTAACAGCAAAGGCGAAATTTATCTCTTTGATGGTGTTCCCCCTTGAGCTTACTGTGAAGGCCCATGCATTTCGCTTGCCCTGAATTACTGACCCATCCATGTAAACTATAGCATCACTTTCATCTGTGTTTTCGTCAATCAGTGTTCTGACTAAACTGTCAACAATGCCAGGAATCTGCTGTCTACAGCTTCCATCAAGTGTGATATGGTCTGTAATATTAATGTTTAGAGAGACAGGCATAATTATTCATTCAATTCCAAAACTAATGTCAGCAAGGACGCAAACATGTTCGATGGCATCCTCAGCCCAACCCATCCAGGATTTGCCTTGTTTGAGTTTACTCTTTTTTTCTTGAATAATTCCTCATAAAGTTGGTGTCAATGGTCTGACTTCACTTTGAGGAAAGCAACAGCCCTGGATAGCTTGATTCTGTTTTCCATTGTAGGAAAATCCAAGAGGTATCGCATAGATTCTCAGGATGTGTCTCTAGTGCATCCAAGAATAATGGGCATTGACTCGTTATCGATTTTTTCCTGTCAGTTCATCTGTGTGGTGCTGAGTGTCATGATGGCCAAGGCATATTCAATGGTGGAGAGAACTAATGAACGATACAATACTACAAGTAGCCGTTGCTCAAAGTTTGCAGCTCCCATAACTTTTATTGAGGAGAGACCTTTCTTGGCTTTGGTTATAATGTGTTCTATGTGTTTCTTAAATGTTAAGCATCTGTCAAATGTTATACCCAGGTATTTCAGTGCCACAGAGTCTGAAATAAACAGATTTATCTAAATAGAGGGAGCAAATTGTGAATGGAAATGTCATGATCAATACATGCATCTGCTGACAGAAATTACCTGGCCTGTTCCCCTGCATGGATACAAGACAATGGTAAAATAGAGAGAGGGGATTTATCATGCTGGATCAGACAGTTAAGAATATCATGGATAGAAAGAAAGCTTAAACTGATGTACTGACAGCTGCAGGAGATGCAAGATTACACTACCTCTTTCACCCCAGGAATGTTTAAAAAAACAGGTGTCGTGAATCTGTGGAAGTTTCATTGGACCAAAAATTTCTTTAAAATAATTTTTTTTAACCATTTTACACAAGTCATTTAAACATTTTTAACACATTTATTTATTTACAGTTAAATTGTTTATACATAAAGATAATTAAAAGGAGTAATCAGTAAACAAGAACAGAGTGAAGTATTAAATGAAATACATTCCCCATGACCTAAAACATAATAACTATCAGGTGGCTCCTGCTGTGATCCTGTGATCTCTATCAGTTATGGGGAAATTTGACAATATGGCTTTAAAATAGCCACTGGGGTCATAAGGACATGACCTCCCACCCCACAGCTGTTTTTAGCTACTATATTCATATCCTGGCCTATTAAACACTGCATAGACAAACAGGGATTCAATGGAATTAAATTATTCTTAATACATGCTTGAATACACACACTTATAAAAAAACTTACAAGAGGGGAAGGTCGAGGGCAGGCAAGCAAGAGGAAGACAGTGATACAAGTGGGAGAATAACATCAAGAGATGGACAAACAGTCTAAGAGAGTGTACATCAATGGTAAACACTCATGTAATTAACTTTCCCACACACAAAAAAACATTGAATCCCTGTACTTATCCACACATAAACCAGTGAAATTTTCTGTAAGGTTAAAATAATCACCTTCCTCCCACCCAAAAACATTAAGAATCAAATCTAACTATATTTTTGCCAACGTTATGCTACTAGTGTCAAAAGTGAACATTTACAACAATTAATCACCAGAAAAACAAAGATAAGATGTTTAGATAAGTTGCCAAAGCAACAAGAAAAGATAAAGTCAAATTTGAAGAAAGTGGAAGAAGACCAGGACTGAAGCTAGAAATACAGTTCATTAAAGGTCAACAGATAGATGGTTTAGACTTTTCAATGAAATACTCTAGTACCAAATGCCCCAGACAGCAAAGCTAAAGAAATACAGTGAACACAGAACAAGGAGAAGACCAATCAAAAGATGGAACGAGGTCACTGTCATGAGTCAACTTTACCACAATGTAGGAGAAAGACAAACAACGACTAGACTCTGACTCAAAACAGCAGACAGGTCAATTACTGGTCAGACAGGTTGTGTGTAGACTGGCAGGGCTATAAGGGCAACTGAGTGTTACGGGTGAGGGGGAGGTTAAAAAGGGACTTGACAAACAGATAAAGTAATACACGGCAGTTAGTAGTTTGATAGTCCAGTGAACAGATGTCTGTTTTGCACCCCTGAAATGTGGGAATTATTTTCGCTTGGCTGGACTGGATTTAAAGCTGTGGTAGTTGTTCATACTTGTATCAAGTGTTTCTTTTGTGTAGCCGGAATTATAAGGTTAGTTGTGGTAGCCAGGACGATACGTAATTATTTCTCCAGATTAATCTGCTAGCCTCTCATGACTTTGTTCATATTGCTAGGATG